GTGTCCCGCTCTCCTAACAGATGCCTCTGAGTGCAAGCCCTGGCAGCTGCGGACGGGACATTGACCTTAAAAGATCCATTGGGCAAACCTGGTACTAATCTCGGCCACTCTACACATGCTAGGGGAAAAGGGAGCTCAGATTGAGAAGGGAGCACCAAATAAAGGGCGTTGGGAGGATCTTCCCAGGATGGGAGAAGCATGCTGAAAGTAGACTATAGACCAAATATGATTGCCACTCAATGCCTCTTTTGCAAACCACAACACCCAAAAGGAGAGAGAGAACAAAGGGGAATGCCCTGCCACAGAGGCAGGGTGGGATGGGGGAGATGGGGGGTGGGAGGGATACTGGGATTGGTGGAGGTGGGAAATGGGCACTGGGGGCACTGGTGGAGGGATGGGTATTTGATCATTGTATAATTGAAACCCAAGCGCAAAATTTGTAAGTCTACAACTCTACCTCATGGTGTTTCACTAATAAAAATTTTAAAAAAAATACAAAAAAATAAAAAATAGACTGGATCGTCACCCAGAAAAAGAAAATCCATGGGTCTGGAGCGATAACACTGCAGGTAGGCATTTTCCTTGCACGCGGCCGACCCGGGTTCAATTCCCAGCATCCCATATGGTTCCCTGAGCACCGCCAGGAGTAATTCCTAAGTGCATGAGCCAGGTGTAACCCATTTGCGTTGCTGGGTGTGACCCAAAAAGCAAAAAAAAAAGGTCCTGCCAACTAGCCTAGTGATGGGCCAACTTCCCTCAGTACTCTGATAGTTTTAAAGCAAATAATCAGAGTATCACCACATGAGGATTTTGAGCAAGATTGTGGACTCAGTTTCCATAATATTTCACCCAGAACCAACAGCTACTCAGTTACTATAAGCCCATGTGCTCTGCAGTTTTATGCTTTGATCTGTCAGTATCGGTCTACATCTTCCAATGCCACAGACTAAACTCCACTTGTTTTCTCTGCTCCCTTGGGTTGGAGAGAATCGACTGTATAATGAATGCCTGAGGTGTTCTTTTATCTATTTTTAATACTGCTATGTTCTTATTCCTAATGTTGCCATTACAAGATGGAATGCTCATTAAGTTCTTTTTGGAGAATTACCTTGAATTTGGGTTTGGGTTTTGCTGTTTTGTACAATGCTGGGTAGTGCTCAGGACTTGATCATGATTGAGCTTGGGGATCACACTTAGAGGGGTTCATGGACCATTTGTTGTACTGGTGATCAAACTTGGGCCAGCCATGTACAAGACAGGCACCTTACCTGCTGTGCTGTCTCAGCCTGATTTTTTTAATTTTTAACAACTGAAGCAAAATTGTTTTATTGAAGGTAATTCAAAAAGATGTCAGGTGTACGAGATGTGTGTTCAAGATAGAATGCAAGATGGAAAAGCAGAGATGAGAGAGTGACACATGTTCAAAAGAAAACAGGGGCCACAAGAAAGCCTTTGACTGGTCAGAAACACTGTCATTTTGTTTATTTATTTTGCTTTTTTTGGTCACACCTGGCGATGCACAGGGGTTACTCCTGGTTTTGCACTCAGCAATTACTCCTGGCAGTGCTCGGGGGACCATATGGGATGCTGGGAATCAAACCGGGGTCGGCCGCATGCAAGGCAATCGCCCTACCTGCTGTGCTATCGCTCCAGCCCCAACACTGTCATTTTAAGGGGAGGTGCCATCCTGTGTACTACTAGGTTTTACTCTTGGCCCTGTGCTCAAGGATCATTCCTGGTGGTCCTGGGCGCCCACACGCCATCCTTACCACCTCCCAGTGACCCCGTTCCCCAGGAAGATGGGTACTCCCCCCACAGGTGGCCAGTCAGTGGCTGGCCGTGGGCAGGGCAGGGCCTGCAACTGCACTTGATTTTAGAGCCCAAGCCCCATTTCAGGGCTCCTCACGGCAGAGTCCCAGGTGTGTCCGGGGAGTGGCAGGGTATCCCGAGGGTGCTACTGCCTCCTCATGCCGGCACTGCCTGGGAGAGGTGAGAGCGAAGAGGACCACCTTCGGGCGTTTGCACACAGGAGGCCAGAAGTCCCGCTCCGCGTGGCCCTGAGCAGAACAGGAAGGACCCACAGCACAGACTCAGGAACAGCCCCGGAGTGGCACAGGGTGTGACCTGGAAGAGGAGGAGGAAGAAGAAGGGGAGGAGGAGGAGAAAGAAGAGAGGGAGAAGGACACGCAGAGGAGAGAGGAGGAGAAGGAAGAGAAGGAAGAAATGATGGACGAGGAGGAGCAGGAGATGGAGATGGGGGAGGGGGACATGGATGGAGGGAGGAGGAGACGGAGGGGGAAGAGGAGGACATGGAGGGGCAGGAGACGGAGATGGGACATGAGATGGAGAGGGTAGGAGGACATGGAGATGGGAGGATAAAATGGTGCAGAGAGGAGGAGATGGAGATAGAAGGAGGGGATGAAGGGGAGGAGGAGACTGAGTTGGAGGGAGGGGATGGAGCGGGATCAGGAGGACATGGAGGGGGCGGAGCAGGGGAGGAGGAGGAAAGGGAGCACAAGAAGAGAACTTTGGCGGTTTCGAGAGTGGTGTTCTGATTAGGGGGTAGAGAGCATTCCTAACTGTGCTCAGGAGGGACCCTGGCAGGGCTGCGGTCCGTGTGCAGTGTCGCGGGGGAGCCAAGGTGGCCCGGAGCCCTGTCCTGGCTCCCGCTGCACCTCAGACGGGTGCTCGATCCGTGGCTCTTGGCCACGGCCGGTCCTCTGCTCAAGAAGGCGTCTGTGCTGCTCAGGAGGCCGGGGAGCAGCCCACGCAGCGCCCAGGGAGCGAACCGGAGAGCTGCAGTCCCGGCCAGCGAAACCCCCACAGGGCTGTGGCGAGCACCCTGGGACCACGTGCTCCCCAGCCGGATCTGGCCCAGACCAAGCTCTTGCTGGCTCACTGGGTGCCTCGCAGCCTCCCTCCCCGCGGGCCTCTTCCTCGGCTCTGTCCGCCTGGGCCCCCTCAGTGTCCTCCCCGCACTGTCCCTCTGCTGTCCGGGGCCGGGACTTCTGGTCGCGATGGTCACTCCCCGGGCTGGATGAGGGCATGGGGGTCCCTCGCCAGCACACAGGGTCCCTGCAGCACTGCGGCCACCCCCACCCCCATCTTGGCCAAGCTGGCGGCGGGAAGTTGGTGGCCGCACGCTGGGTCCCAGGCTGGCAGGGAGGGTTCTCCCCTTTTCTCAGGCTAAAGGCAGGGCTGCAGCGGAAAGCCCCGGGTCTGAAACGGAAACTGGGCGTCCTGGTTGGCCTGATAGGAAGCTAATGATCGGGAAGGCGCAGAAAAGTGGCTCACACAAGAATAGCTGCAGCCAAGTTGAGTGTTCTCTTTGTCAGCCTAAACCTGTGCTGTCTGGTTCCGAACTTGATGTTTGTGTGAAGAGGAGAGCCAAGACCAGCACACAGCTCGACTCTCCTTAGGGGTAGAGGTACAGTCACTGGGTGATTAACATATGATTAAGCTGAAAGTGGACTGGCTGGTGCCTGTGTGTGGTCTGGGAGGGGGTGGGAAAGGGAAGCCTGTGGGCGCACTGGGCACTAGCCCGGGTAAGGCCTTGACTTGGGCCCATGTGTCTGATCCCTCTAGCACTCCTGACTGTAGCCCAAGCTCACCGCCACTGAAAAGTTGAGGAAAAGAGGCCTGAGACCGAATACAGCAAGGAGGTACCTGCTTCGGACACGGCGGGCCGTCTTCAATGCCCCACCAGGAGTTATTCTAGAGTGCACAGCCAGGAGGACGCGCCCCCAAACCAAACAGGCCCTGCAGCGGCTGCCTTGAGCCTGGGTGCCACACTGGGCTCACCTCACCGCGCCAGAGTCCTGGTTCCAGTGGCGACCTGGCTGTAAGGAATGAGCACCGCAAGGGTGGCAGGGTGGCATCTGAACGTGCGCATGGAAGGGACTCAGAGGGTCTCTTGTCAGGGCCCTGCTCGCCGAATAGAACCCTCCGTGGCCTGTGCACCTCCCGGAGCGACACCAGCGATCCACTGACCCAGTTTCCAGACTAGCGCTGAAGACAGCAGGGGGCGGGCTGGGAACGGGCCTCCTGGGGGCGTTCCCTGCCGCTCCCGACCGGGGGCTTCAAAGCAGCCCGAGGAAGACAGCTCGCCCGCCCGGTCTCCCTCCTCCCTGGCAGGCGCGGGGCGGAGCCGGACCCCCACTTTCTCAGGAACCAGCTCAGAGACACAGTGAGATGCTGCGAGCCGACGGGCCGGCCCAGGGCCGCGTGCGGGTGCCCTAAGGAGGCTGGAAGGTCCGGGAGGCAGGCCGGGGCGTGAGAAGAGCCGGGGCGGGGCGGGGCCGGCGGCGGGGCGGGCCTCCCTCCCGTCTCCAGGGGCGGCACTTGCGGGGTCTCCCGGAGGTTTCTCCTGTCCCCGCACCTAACTGCTAAGGCCAAGTCTGGTTCGGGACGCTCCGGTTAGGGCAGGGGGTCCGGGGGCCGGGGGGAAGAAGGCCGCCACTTGGTTCGTTCGTCCCAGGTTGGCTCCGTTTCCCGGCGGGAGGAGCCCCACGACCCCTGGGCACACGCGCACGGACGCCGTAAGCGCCAGCGTCGACACGACTTTCAAGTCTAGGAACGCACACAACGGGCGTCTGCCTTGCAGGCGGCCGACGCGGCTTTGATCCCCGGCACTCCCGAGGCCGCCACGAGTAACCCCCAGTACGGCTGGGTGTGGCCCCAAAACAATAAGAAAAATGCCCAGGAACACGTCCTTGGCCGTTGCAAAACCCCACGAGGGCAAGCTCCGCACCCAAGATGGCCAGCCGCAGGCGGGGCTTTCACGCGACGTGGTGAAGCATCGTTCGTCAGTTGGCCGACTAGGGGCGGCTGCCCAGCCCCCGCCCTTCTCTGCGCATGTGCTAGGACTCTCCCGCGTCTACGCGCTGGGCGCCATTGCATCTATGGTCAGGACGTCTCCTAGAGCGTCGCCCCGCCCAACCTAGTCTCTATGGTTCCTCGGCGTGAAGATAGGCTGTCTATATAAGGCATGTGCGGGCGTCGGATCTCCTCTTTCCCTTCGGCGCGGTGAGTAGCTGCTGTTGGGTGCTACTCGGGTGCCTTTCCCTGCTCGCTCGCCTTGTTTTGAGTTAAGCCCTTTCCTTCGTTTCCCACTTTGTTTCTTTCATTACAGCCAGTGAAGATCCTGGTGTCGCCATGGGCCGTCGACCCGCCCGGTGGTGAGTGCCAAGTTCATCCAATTTCCTACTTTGTCAAGGGAGCCTTGTCTTGGTTGAGCCGCGAAAAGTCACAGTAGGGTGGGGCTTCCTTAGCGCTGCTTTCTTGAGTTGGAAATGCCCCGTCTGGACCCCAGTAACCTCCAGATGGTTCATTACAGTGTGCGTTCTTCGCTCATAATTCACGGCAGCTTCAGAGAGCGATCCCCTATTGTGATTGAGGCTTGGTCCGCCCCTGAGCGCACAGCTGGAGGTGACGGCCACTCATATTCCACTCCCTGCCCTGGAAGTTGGTCTTTTCGGTTTTGGTGCCCGCCGCGGCCCTTTGTGTGCTGTCGGTGTAGTTTCCGGGCCGCGTGGGGTGCCTTGTCTCGGGACTCCAAGGGCAGGGAGGCGGTTTGGTCGCCGCTGCCCGGCAGGGGGCGTCGGATCCGGCTTGGGCATTGAATTTTCACTTGCTGGGGGCGCTGTGACGCCACGTGCCCAGAACAGAGGAGTGGCACTGGGTGTCGCTGGCGGGAGTGAGCGTCCTTCCCGGGCTTGCCTGCAGTCCAATGCCCCTGCGGAAGCTCGTTCTTTGCGTCTCCCGTTTCTTTGGCTTGCGGCGGTTTCTTGACGGGAACGGCGCCGCTCATCTCCGGCACTGTTCCCCTCCGTGTTCTCTCTCCGCAGCTATCGGTACTGTAAAAACAAGCCATATCCGAAGTCTCGCTTCTGTCGAGGCGTCCCAGGTATGTGGCGGGGCACCCCCCGATGGGTCGACAGCCCCGGGACCGGCCACGCGTACTGAACGTCCCCGGAACTCTTTCAGATGCCAAGATCCGCATCTTCGACTTGGGCCGGAAGAAGGCCAAAGTGGACGAGTTCCCGCTCTGTGGCCACATGGTGTCGGATGAGTACGAGCAGCTTTCCTCGGAAGGTGAGGCGCTCGGCGCGCGATTAGTCTTGCCTCGACGCGAAGGCGCTCGGCGCGCGATCGGTCATGCCTGGGCGCTCCTCCGGGAAGGCGCCGCCCGGAAAAACCGGTCTCACGCCGCCTCACGGCTGCTCCCCCGCCCCCCAGCTCTGGAGGCCGCCCGCATTTGTGCCAACAAGTACATGGTGAAAAGCTGTGGCAAGGATGGCTTCCATATCCGAGTGCGCCTGCACCCCTTCCACGTCATCCGCATCAACAAGATGCTGTCCTGCGCAGGGGCCGACAGGTGAGCCGGCACTCGCGTCCCGATCGGACTTGGCCGTGGGGCTGGGGGGGGTGCGGGACGGTGCCCGGTGCAGCCAATTAAGCCGACCGTGCTCTCTGCCCCGTGGGGCCCGGTGTGCAATGGCTGCCGACAGCGAGCAGCTCCTGGGTAGTGTACGCAGCCTGTGCCTTGTACGGGCTGTGAGAAGGGACCCTGGACACAGCCCTTTGTCCTGCTCGTTCCTGTCTGCTCTCACACTGGCCTCCATCTCAGGCTCCAAACAGGCATGCGGGGGGCCTTCGGAAAGCCCCAGGGCACGGTGGCCAGGGTCCACATTGGCCAGGTCATCATGTCCATCCGCACCAAACTGCAGAACAAGGAGCATGTGATTGAGGCTCTCCGCCGGGCCAAGTTCAAGTTTCCTGGTCGTCAGAAAGTAAGTGGTGCTTTGGCCTCAGATCTGCACCAACTCTTCAGCCGGGGAACTCATGTGGGTTTTTTTCCTTCCTCAGATCCACATCTCCAAGAAGTGGGGTTTTACCAAGTTTAATGCGGATGAGTTTGAAGACATGGTAGCGGAGAAGCGACTCATCCCAGATGGTTGTGGCGTCAAATACATCCCCAACCGTGGGCCTCTGGACAAGTGGCGGGCACTGCATTCCTGAGAGCCTTGGAGCTGTGCCCTCCAGTCCCTGTTCCCCACCCCAGCACTCAAGCGCCCCATCCCACCCACCACAATAAAACCTGGTTCTTAATCATCTCTGTCTGCATTCTTGGGGGTGGGGGGTGCTTGAGCCACTCTGAAGTGGAGGGCTGAGGGAAGGGGGTAACCAGAGGGCAGCTGGGGTCAGAGAAATCTGGGGCTTTGTTTTCACCAACATCCCCGAGTGTGGGGGGTCCATGGGAGTCATTGGAGACAATAAAGGACATATCCTTCAAGCCAGGTGTAGGCTTGTCCTTGTCCTAACCCCAGGCTCTTGCCATCACCTGTACCTTATATCTCCAAGACTTGTTACAGGCTCCTGTGTTCCCGGTATGCCATAGCCAGGTGCTTTGTCCTAACAACCCCAAATCTCATTCACAGCCATCCCTAACAATTATAATAAGCTTTTATTTTTGTAAACAGTTGGCTTCAATGGCCCTGAAGTCCCCCTTCTGGACTCGAGGACTTATGGGTCAGGGGGATTGTCACCCAGGAAAGCTGTCACAGCAGCAAGTGCAGTTGCTCTCGGTAATGCACCTCCATCTGCCCTTGCTGAGATCCACGGACACTGGCAAGGTGTCTGAACATTGCAGTACGGTGGTTGACAACAGGAACTTGCGGATAGCCTGGGCACTTGGTTCGCTGGAGCCGAGGGCCATTGTCCATTTCTTGCTTTGTTCTCACGCTTCTCTAGCATCCCACATGCCCTCTAATGCAAGTTGTAGCCTCCAACCCATGAGGAACATTATTTTGCAGGGGGTTGTTGCGGCCACACTTAAGCTCTATGCTTGGGGATAGAACCAGGATTAGCTCTATGCAAGGGAAGTACCTTACCCCACCTGTTATCTCCACCTCAACCGGTTTAAGTAGTGCCTGGGATTGAACCTAGGCCTCACGCAGGCCAGACAAACCCTACTCCATGAACCACATCTCCACTGCTGCCAGAATTTGTTTCCTTTTGGCCTACACCTGGTGACAGTACTGGCTGTTCCCTGTGCTGTGGATTTGCTGCCTGGTAGCACAAGGCATGTGCCTGAGCCTGGAGCCATCCCCTCTGTCCTAGTAGGACCTCTGTCAGCTGTGAGCCCCCTTTCCTTTTTCTGTTTTTTTTTGGGGGGTGCCACACCCAGATGCCCCGGGTATACTCCTGGTTCTGTGCTCAAGAATTCCTTGTGAGGGCTTTGTCCCTCATGCTCAAGGGACAAATGGGATGCCAGAAGTCAAGCCGGGGTGGGCCACGTGCAAGGCAAACGCCCTCCCCTCTGGACTATCGCTCCCACCCCAAGTCCCCTTTCCTAAGCCTTGTGGTTCACCTAAAATCAACACCCTGCGCCCTCTGCCTGCATTCCCCCTCAACCCTGGCTGGACCAAGCTTGAGGGAGCCTCCCTTTCTCTTCCACATGCTATCACCAGGCACAGCCCCAGCCAAGAACACCCACAAAGAAGAGGACTGCAGTCCGATGGCGGAGAGAGACAGTGAGGCTGTGGCGGAGTCCTGGAGGCTGGTCATCCTGGCATGTGGGCAGCAGGCCCGAGCAGTGTCAGGCCACTGGGCCCAGCCGCAGGGGCACGAGTGGCAGCAGCAGCATCGCCAGACTGAGGGGTTGCAGCTTGGGCATGGCCCCACTCAGTTCCACCTCCACCGGGTAGTGGTCACTGACGTTTAGGGCCTGCGGGACGTGCAAGTGAGCGTCAGCATCTGCGTCTACCCCCCCGCTCCCCAGGCGCCTTCCGCATTCCCTTTACCTCCATCTCGGAGAGCCCGAAGCCGGTGGGGAACTGGAAGGCCGCGGCGGCCTTGAGCAGGCTCTGGCAGCGCTGGCCGTGCAGCACAATGCGGTCATAGGCGCAGTGTGTGCTGGCCCGCACAGTGGTGTCCTCGTCGTCGCTGATGGCCCAGTGGAAGGCGGGCTCAGTCCGCAGGACCAGCTCGCTCAGGCGCTTTTTGCTCAGCGAAGCACAGTCAGCATTGAAGTCCCCAAGCAGGATGACATCCTGGGGAGTGGGGGATGCTCAGCTCCGCTCCCACCCCTCTGCCACCCCGTCCCCTCCTGCACCGTCGCCCAGCCCTACCTCACTCTGCCAGTGCTGAGAGACGTCTAGGAACACGTCGTGCAGGGCGTTCAGCTCCGTCTCCACTGCCTTGGGAGTGGTGTGCAGTGGCACGAGCACCAGGCTGGGCAGCACTACAAGAGGAGGCTCAGTGCTCCCACCGGCTCGGCCACCACAGCCTCCCCCCACCCCCGTGTCTGGTCCCGTACCTTTGCTGGGCAATGTGAACTGGGCCACGAAGGGCTCCCGGGCGAAGAGGTCATCTTTGTCATTGTACACGTAATGACTCAGGACCTGCGTCCTGAGTGTCCTGCAGCAGGGAAGCAGGTCCCTGCGTCACCAAATTGGGCTCATGGCCTTCAGAGCTGAGACCCATGGAGGGCGCCCTCACCGGCTCCCCCTCATGGCTCCCCGGCACTCCTCTTTTGTGGCTTTGGTGGCTCGATCTGTGGGAGGAACTGCGAGCAACACAGCTCCAAGCTGCCCAGGCCAGCGCAGGTGGCGTGTGAGCAGCACAGATAGGGTCACCAGCCTCGCATCAACCCAAGGACATTGTCACCCCATCCCCCACCCCAGGAAAGCCAGCCCCTTCCCTCCACCCTGGAGCCACAAATCTGTCTGCTCCAGAGAGCTGCCCCTTCCAGAAACTTCCTGTGAAGTCACCAAATGCTGCGGACACACAGGCACACTCACGATTGTGCTAGGCTCATGCCCGCCCTGCCCAATGCTGCACCGGCAGGTGGGAAAGCACCGTGCTCAGCTGGAGGCACCAGGTGCTCCTTTTTGGCACTGTTGTGCACAGTGCCACTGGGAGGCGTGCCCGGGTCCTGCCGTGCACTCCTTGCACGAGGAGCCCGGCTGGGAGCCACCACCTGTGCCGTGCGGCTTTCGGGGGAGGAGGCTTACCGGTAGATATACACGTACTTCTCCATGTACGTGCTGCGGCCCAGCAGGGGGCTGCTCAGGGACGCGTAGGGCCCCGAGTCACCATATCTGCCAGAACAGCAAATGGGGATGCCGAGGTCAGGGAACCTGAGGCCTGGGTGCGCCCCCGCGAGCCCCCCAGACCCTCCTCACCGATTGAGTTCACGCAGCAAGAGGCTGATGGCACTGTCTGAAGAGTCCACCACCTCCTGCAGCACCATGATGTCACAGCGGGCCACGATCTGTGGGACATGGGGGTCTGCTTAGCCGTCCAGCCCTCCCGGAGGAGACTGTGACCAGTGCACACAGGTGCAGCAGGGCCGGGAGGCGCCACCTACCGGAACGAGTGTGTCCAGCACTTTGGCCACTTTGGCAAGGGTCAGCCTCTGGGTATTGAAGGCACAGATCCGAAAGGCCTCAGCCCCCATGGCCAGGAGGAGGAGCAGCAGCAGCGCGGCTGGGGAGCGCATGGCTGGGTGTGGGGGACCCTCAGGAGGAATCCAGCTGTGTCCAGGCTGCGGTCCTCGCTGGCCTTAGTTCTGGGAGGACAGAGAAGGCCTCGTTCCGCTGCTTGGATTTGGTTCCGTGCAGAGTTCCCGCCCCTCCCCGTGGGCACCGTCCCACTGGGCATGGAGACTTTGGCCTCTGACTCCAGCGAGTGTGTGGTGCCACGGTTTGAGCCCAGGACCTCAATTGAGCCACATCCCTGCCCTTGGCCTTCAACTCTGGGGGGGGGGGAGGGTGACACTCTTTTTGTGGGAAATAGGTTTATTGGAAAGTTGAAGGCTAAAGGAAGGAAACCCCCCAACCGAAGAGGAACTTAGCACGACTAAGTTCTGGACCACAACTTTTGGTGCTTGGGGGCAACTCCGTGCTCTGTGCTCATAGATCACTTCTGGCCTCAGCAGGGGGTGCTGGGCACTGAACCAAGGTTGGCCACATGCAAGGCAAGTGCCTTCCCCTGTACTATCTCTCCTCAGAGTTTTTTTCCTTCTTTTTGGGTCACACCTAGTGATGCTCAGGGGTTCCTCCTGGCTCTGCGCTCAGGAATTACTCTTGGCGGTGCTTGGGGGACCATATGGGATGCCGGGGATCGAACCTGGGTCACCCGCTTGTACGGCAAATGCCCTCCCCGCTGTACTATCACTCTAGCCCCTCTCCTCATAGTTTTTAATCATGGTCGTAGCCAGGTGGCACGCGACGGTTCGGCTACATCGTTTGGGACATCGGATTTGGGGCCTTTAGAGAGTATTGCAGCCACCAGCCATGCCCAGAACCTGGCCTGGTCCCGTCGCCGCCCCCGAGCTCCTTTTCCCCAAGGAACCCCGCCTCCCACCCTCCTGCCACACTCCGCAGCGCCCCGCTGCCGTCTCTGCCTCTGGCCACTCCAGGGAACCCCGCAAAGCACCCGGCCGCCTCCCTCGGCGTCGTGTTCTCATCCGGGCGCCGCTGGGGAGACTTCCCTCCCCTCACCAAGGGGATGCCACCTGCAGCGTGTGGGTGCGTGTGCCGCCCTGGCTTAGCTGCGTGCGACCCAGGGCCTCTGGGTCTGCGGCCCCCTCCTGGCTCCTGCCAAGTCCTCTTCTGGCTCATGTTAGATTGCGAGGGGGGATGTGTCCTGAGCTGGAATGGCTGCGTCACGTGGCAGGCAGCTGTTTGTAAGAGTGTGAGGGACAGCCATCCCATTCTGCAGAGTGCCTGCACCATGGGCCACCGGTGCCATCAGGGGCCACTGCACACACTGCATGCAGCAGGCCTGGGGGCAGCCCCCAGAGGAGAAGCAGAGGCAAGCCCCCACCATTGCCGTCTGCAGTTCCTTGATGACAGATTTTTTACTCTCATTAGCAATTGGGAGGATGGTCTCTGGTCGCCTGAGAGATGGGATCTCAAAGGCCAGTTCCTGGCAGCAGAGTTGCTGGGTTCCAGGGAGCAGCACTTTGGTGATCTGAGATAGCGCAGGCGGCCCCCACAGGGCCACCAAGCCTCTTTCCCACGCCTCCACCAGCTTCTCCTGCATGTCTCTCTCAAGGTACCTTTTGTCTGAGTCTGAGGCTCAGCCCCTCACCCGCACTCCGCGCCAATCTCCCTCCTCCCTCTGTGTCCACTGCTTCCCTCTAGCACCCACTTTCCGCTTTCTTGAGATTTCCTGCCTGGCTTTCCCGTGCATCTCCGTCACCCTCGTCACCGGGAACAAGGCCCATTTCCTCGTCCAGCTGCTCTGTCACTCACGCCAGCCTATGTCTATTTTGGGATAGCTTTGGGCTGCTCTGGGCAGACAAGGGCAGAGCTGGAGGCTCAGGGGCCAGCCCTGACCCCAGCAACCCAGCCGGTTAAAAGTCCCTGCCTCACCCTCAGCCTACTGCGGGCTTCCCAAAGCCGGCTCTGCCCAGACCCGGGAGCTCTCCCTCCGTCTCCAGCCCCCGCCCTCGGCCCAGAGGCCCCCATACCTGAGCTGACCAGCCTGTGCCCACACTGGCCTCCACTTTGAGCAGATCGCAGCCGTCCCAAGAATTGCCGGCCTGGCCTGGCGGGAGCGGAGCTGAGAAAAGAGGAAGAGGCTGTGGGCCGACTACGGTCCCGCCCAGGCCGGCGACGCACCCTTCCCTCGGGGGCTCCAGGAGCACGGGCGCCGGGTTTGGGAAGGGCCGCCCTGCCCGCCCACCAGCAGCCGGGACCGCCTTCTCGGCCCGCCGCCGGCCGACAACGCTGCTGGCCCTGAGTCACTGGGGCGGTTGGCGGCGCCGCCCGAAATGAGTGGTTGCGGGGTGCCAGGGAGGAGCTGGAGCCCAAGGCAGACCCCCGAGCGGTGATGGCAGCCAGGATCTCAGCCCTGCCCCGGTGCCCGCCAGGAACCTGCTGTCTCCTCCACCCAGCCCAGGGGACCTTAAGACGGGGGCAGTAGGGGGCCGCGGCCGGCCGCAGGGACACGGAGCCCTAAGAAGAGGGAACTGGAGAGTTGCGGTTCAGTGTCCTGGGGAGTGCTGTTCGGGCAAAGAGGGGTACTGGGTAGGGTCCTCCTCTTGGCTGTTGCGCTCTTCCACGACACTTAAGTTCTAGTCGGGGGTGGGCTTGCGCCAAAGGTCGGAGAAAATTATTTTTGTTTTCTTGGGCGCTGGGGGTCGACCTCAGGGACTCGGACATGTAAAGTGTGAGTCCGCCTCGAATCTGAGCTCCATCCCGGGTCAGGAAAGAGGCTGTGACCATGATCGCTATCGACTCTGAAAAAAATTAGTCACCGTGAAATTACAGTTCTTTGTGATTTGGTTTCGGGCACACAATGTATCAACACGGCTGGCTTCCCCAGGGTCCATTTCCGTCCACCGATCCCCCACCGCCACGCAGTCGGCTCTGAAGGTGCTGCTGGAGGGCCTTCCTTCGCCCGTGGAACGTGTGCGGGCCCTGGAGGCAGCAGGGGGCAGCATCGGGAATGCGCGAAATGGCCCGCTCCGTCTTTTATGTAATGTGCCATTACATCACATTCCCCCACTGCGCACAGATCCCGGTATAATCAGGCGGCAGGTAATTATGCAAAAGTCTCGGCCTCTCCGAGGTACCGATTGGGCTCCAAGCGCCAGATGCCGCCTAAGCACCTTAAGCACGGAGGCTGTGAGTAGAGACGCGGGGATCGTGGCCCGCGGCTGCGGCCGCACAACAGACAAGCCAGGGCTGAAAAGACAAGGGGCTGGGGCGGCCGCGGCCCGCGGCGGGGCCGGCGAGTGCCGGATGGAGGAGACAAAGGAGCCGCGAGCCGTGGCCGGAGCCGGGGCGGGGCGGGGCGGGGCGGGCCGCTGCCGTCAAGCGGCCCGGATTCGCTTTGCGACAGCGGCCGGTCGCCGGGCTCGGGTGCCGGCTCGCTTTCCGGCGGGGGCGCGGGGTGCGCGGCCGTGTCTGCCATCCCCTCCGGCTTCTGGCCGCGACTCGCAGCCGGTGACCCCCGGGGGAGGCGGCCTGCGGCCACAGAGCGGGCGCGACCCCGCGAGGTGACCTTGGACCTGGCGCCCGGGCGCGGGCGGAGGCGGGGAGATGCCCCTGCAGGTGAAATGGCCCTTCCCCGCCGTGCCGCCGCTCACCTGGACCCTGGCCAGCAGCGTCGTTATGGGGCTGGTGGGCACCTACAGCTGCTTCTGGACCAGTGAGTGCGCGCGGGGCGCCGCGGGCTCGGCTCGAGTCCCCGCGCCCCGCCACCCGGGTCCCGGGGTTGGTGTGTGCGGGCCGAGCCGGGCGGGGGGGCTCCGTGGGCGCCCCTCACTCCCGCTCTCGCCCCAGAGTACATGAACCGCCTCACCGTGCACAACAAGGAGGTGCTGTACGAGCTCATTGAGAACCGCGGCCCGGCCACCCCCCTCATCACCGTCTCCAACCACCAGTCGTGCATGGACGACCCTCACCTCTGGGGTACCCAGATCCGCGTGCCCCCACACAGGGTGAAGGTTTCGCCGGGCCCCCCATCCTGCCGTGGCATGGGAGTGGCTGAGGACAGACCCAGGGGGTTGCGAGTACCGGAGGGGCTCTGCCCTTCTGATAGCTGCTGGTCTGGGCGCTGAGTCCGGGCTCCTGGAGTCCCAGGACCCCGGGGCCGTCCCGGAACCCCGGCCCACGGGCCTGGGTCCTGTTGCATTCCGGTACCTCTGTGACCCCCACCCACGGGCCTGGGTCCTGTTGCATTCCGGTACCTCTGTGGGCTGCTCAGTCCCCCCACCGTTCTCACCTGGGACGTGCTTCCAGTGGCGGGTGCTGGACCCGGGTGAGGGCTGGGACAAGGCCCGCTGAAGGAAGGTGGAGCAGGCAGAGCCCCAGCTGACAGGACTTGGGGACACGCTGGGGGTGGGGCCGCAGCCCAGTCTGGAGGTGCTGAAGCGCCTCTCCTCCCACAGGGATCCTGAAGCTCCGCCACATCTGGAACCTGAAGCTGATGCGCTGGTGAGAGCAAGGGCTCTGCTCTGGCCAGGAGGCCGGCCCTGGGGGGGGTGTTGGCCACACTCTGCGGGCAGTGGGGCTCACGCGCTGTCCCCCTCGCCAGGACCCCCGCGGCCGCAGACATTTGCTTCACCAGGGAGCTGTACTCGCACTTCTTCAGTCTGGGCAAGTGCGTGCCCGTGTGCAGAGGTGAGCTGCCCTGCCGGGAGGAAGGGACACAGCTGCGGGAGCAGCGGCTGGAGTGGGGCTGTCGTGGGATGCTGGCCCGGTCGGTGTGGGCCTGCCTGGAGGCTGCGAGGTCTGTTGGAGCAGAGAGCTGGCCTGCCCATGTCCGGTCCTGGAGCCCTCGTGCCGTGGATGCGGACTTCTCCAGAGCCTGGGAAGGAGGGTCTTGCTGTCCGTTCTGGGGGGACAGGCGGCACTTTCCTTGGGGACAACAGTCCAGATGGCGCTGTGTGCTGTTTGGTTGGCACTCCTGCTTGTGCCGGGAATCTACCTCGGAGCTGCTGAGCTCTCCTGGCCCAGAAGGTTCTGTAGGGAAGTCAAAAGGTTCTGGCAGCACATGGAGGGTGTGGGCCATGTGGGAAGGTTCTGGAACCGTGGCTGTGGACTGGGGGGACCTGCTCTCGCCTCAGAGGAATGGTGTGTTTCGGCTGAGTTGAGGGGAGCCATGGAGAGCAGGGACCCATGACTGCCTGCAGAGGGTCACCTTGGAGGGAGAGCAGTCTGACTCCTGGCAGCTGGCGGCAGCGGTAACAGGACGTGTTGACAGGCTGCGGGAGGGGGAGCACAAGAGGACTCTGGGTGACACCTGCTGACACAGAGGCCCTAGTGTCACTGGGATGGGGGCTTCTCAGCCCGAAGGAATGGTGGCCGGGGTGGAGAAGGAGGTGAGATTGTGGTCACCAGAGGCTCCGGGCAGCCCTGGGGTGCATGACTCAGGCATGGGGACGAGGATGGGGTTGAGAACCCAAGGCTCTAGGCATTCAGGATATTTTTTTTGGTTTTGTGGCCACACCCACCAGTGCTCAGGGCTTACTTCTGGCTCTGTGCTCAAGGATCACTCATAGCGGGGCTTGGGGAACCCTGTGGGGTGCCAGGGATCGAACCTGCCCTACCCGCTAGTCTGTCTCTCCAGCCCAGATTTCAGGATTTCTTGAGGCTCAAAACCAAAGCTGGCAGGTGCCATAAAATCACCCCAAACAATAAAGCTGGATTTTGAGTGAAAGCTCCTCTTCAGAGAAATTCCCTGGAGACAGCCTGGAATGTTCTTTTGGGGAGTGGGTGGTGGCGCTTCTGGAGACAGTGTCATTTCTCAAAAATGAAAGGCAGCGGCCCACGTGTTATGGAGGGGAACTTTTGAATTTCTTTTTTTTTTTTTTTTTGCTCTTTGGGTCATACCTGGTGATGCTCAGGGGTTACTCCTGGCTTTGCACTCAGGAATCACTCCTGGCGGTGCTGGGGACCATATGGGATGCTGGGAATCAAACCCGGGTCGGCTGTGTGCAAGGCAAACAAACGCCCTCCCCGCTGTGCTATTGCTCCAGCCCCGAACTTTTGAATTTTTACTGAGTACTTCCTTTTCTTCCTTAACCGCCTGTCTCAGATAACCTTGGTTCTCTGCTCAGTAGCCACAGGCTAGTGTCCTTATTTTCTCAACTTCTCAGAGTATTTCTGTGTGGCCACACCGGTGAAATGATCCACTTTGCAACTTTTCAGAATCTTGAGTTGCCTCCGTTCTGCTGCGTGACCCATTTCATGCGTGCCCCTTGCTCTGCCCGCCACACATCACAGTCTGAGTGTGCTGGCTGGGCGCCGAGCCCGCTTCCACATTTGTGGACTTTAGTGCTATGGGGCTGGATGCAGCTTTTCCTCTTAATGTTTCCACATTTTTTTTTAAATTAAGGCAACATGATTGACAAACTTAGATTCCTGGAGTATAAAATAGTTGTCTTTAGCTTTGTTTTCCTTTTTCTAATATTTTTGTTTGGTCACGCCCAGCTCGGTTCAGGGCATACTCCTGATGGGGCTTGAGGGACCCTGTGGGATGCTGGGGATTGAACCTCCGTTAGTGCAAGTTAAGCACCTTTGCCACTGTACTATCTCTCAAGCCCCAAGCTTTTTTTTTTTTTTTGCTTTTTGGGTCACACCCGGTGATTCTCAGGGGTTACTCCTGGATTTGCACTCAGGAATGACTCCTGGTGGTGCTCGGGGGACCATATGGGATGCTGGGAATCGAACCCGCGTCGGCCGCGTGCAAGGCAAACGCCCTACCCACTGTGCTATTGCTCCAGCCCCTTTTCTTTTCTTTTTTAATTCATCTTTTCCTGGTTTGGGGGCCACACTCAGAGAGGCACAGGGGTTACTCCCAGCTCTGCATTCAGGAATCACTCCTGGCAGTGCTTGGGGGACCATATGGAATGCCGGGGATCAAACCTGGGACACCTGCATGCAAGGCAAATGCCTTTCCCGCTGTACTGTTGCTTGGGCCCTTCTTTTTCATACTCAGGGGGAGCACACCTGGCAGTGTCTGGGGGTGCCTGTCATTCTGGAGAGCCAACCCAGCGTGTAGCACGTGCAAGGCAAGAACTCTGCCACTTTAATTACTCCCCTCACCCCTAGCTTTCTTTTCCTGATTTTTTTTGCCACACCTAGCAATGCTCAGGGCTTACTCCTGGTTCTGCGCCTGGGGATCATTTCTGGCAGACCCTGTGGGGTGCCAGGGATGGAACCTGGGTCAGGTACGTGCACAGCCAATGCTTTACCTGCTGTAATATTTCTCTACTCCTGGGGCTGGAGCGATAGCACAGCGGGTAGGGCATTTGCCTTGCATGCAGTCGACCCGGTTTCGATTCCCAGCAACTCATATGATCCCCCGAGCACTGCCAGGAGTAATTCCTGAGTGCATGAGCCAGAAGTAACCCCTGTGCATCACCAGGTGTGACCCAGAAAGCAATTTCTCTACTCCTTACCTTTCTTTATTTTGGTGTTTGGGCCATACCCGGCAGTTCTCAGGGGTCACTCCTAGCTCTGAGCTTAGGAGTCACTCCTCACGGCCACGGAGAACCACATGGGATGCCAGGGATTGAACCCAAGTCCGCCACATTCAAGGCAAGCGCCCTACCCATTGTACTCTCTCTCTTGCCCATCCACTCCGCTTTTTCTTTTTGTTGGTGCCAGGAATTGAACCCAGGGCCTCGCACATGCAAGGCAAGTGCTCTACCCCTATGCCATCTCCCTGTCCCCCATCTTGCTCTTTCGTGGAGCCCCAGAGAGAGTTCCAAATTGGCTGCTCCTGGGGCTCTCTCACTCCCAAACACCAGGTTCTTGTTCGCTGCCCTGTGGTTCTGTTACTGTTGCTCATGAGGGCACCCTTACCATAGGTGAGGAAGCTGTGCGTTTGCTGATCGTGCCGCCCGTCTGTAAGGGGACTGGCTGATTTGGCACCCCACAGGCTCACTTTCTGACAAAGAACCACAAATCTACCATCTTGAGGAGAGCACACAAAGAGCGCCCTCTCGGGTGGTGCCAACCACTTCGGGAGATACTGTTCTATATGGTTCAAGGCCTGATCTCCCAGGGCTCACTCCATTTTGAATCTGCTTGGGGATGGGGGTCAGGGACCCACCCAGTTTGATTCCGTTTTTAAATATCACCTTGCTGTCTGTCTTTCTGCTGTTTGGGCCCACATTGAGCAGAGTCCAGGCAGCTCTGTGCTCAGGGGTCACTCCCAGAACTGTGAGTTATCTCTTATTCCGAGTCTGTTTGTGTTTTGTACCACATCAGTGCTCAGGAGTTACCCCCAGCCCTGTGCTCAGGGGCTGCTCCCCAGCAGTGTTCGGGGACACTTCAGTGCTGGGGTGGAGTTGGGGCCTCCTGCTTGGCTGGATCTCCGGCCCTGTGTGTCCATTTCTATCCCAGGGCCTCGACACGACGGGGGGCACACCCAGTAGTATTTAGGGTCTATTCCTAGCTTGGAGATAGCTCTTGGCGTGCTCAGAGGACTGTGCAGTGCTAGGGGTCAAACCTGTAGTGCCAAGCATGCCCTCAGCTCATCTTGCTTTTTCTTACTCAGGATTCCTCTAGCGGTTTATTTTGATTTCTCTTTCTGATCTATGAAGCAGTGCTCAGGCGGTGCAGTGCTGGGGACTGAACCCAGGCCCTTGGAGCCCTCTCCCAGCCATATTCAGACGCCCAGTTCCTCCCTCTGCGTCTCCGGACCGAGGTGCGCAAAGGCCACTCGCTATGTCGTTTCTTTTGAACCTGCATCTTAGTCGTGCTGCACGGTCAGAAACCAAGGACGAAATCTGTTTGTTTTGTTTCTGGGCCACAACCCGTAGTGCTGAGGAGCTATTCCTGACTCAGCAGGAGTCAGGAGACCATGGGGTGCAGGGATCAAGCCGAGGCTCCTGAACACAAGAAAGTGACCTCTTAATGCTAAACACCTTCAGTGAGAGCAGGTGGGCTGGTCCGGGATTTATCAAATGCCTCTGCCACCCAACCAAGTCCTGTGGCCTATGCTGAAGCAAAGGACACATCTGGCACCCACTTCAATGCTTATCCCCCAGATACGGACTTTATAGTGTGGCCCGAAGCATCGGAGAGATTTCACAAGCCATGTGAGTGAGTGGAGCTAGTATTTGGCAAACCCCGAGGTTAGGAAGTGTTGCTCCAGGAGCTGTTATTATTTCGTTATTTCCAGCTGGATGGCAAGTTGGCGCTGGTGGGTTTTAGTAGGGGAGAGCCGGCATGTTGGGACGCCTACAGTACTCATGTCCTCTTGGAACCGCAGCATCGGAGCCAGAGCACAGTCGCCTGAAACACATGCTGTTCCCTCCCCAGCACCAGCAAGAGCAACCCCTGAGCACTGAGCAGGGAGTAGCCTCTGAGCTCCTCCTGGTGTGGCCCCAAACGAGAGAGACTGCAGCGCAGGCCAGGGAAATGGCTCAGCAGTGGGCATTTGCCTCACATGTGTGAGCCCCTGGGTTGGATTGCCGGCACCTCCAGGGATGACCCTGGGCGGTACAGCCTTTCGAGGGAGCTGCTCGGCTTCCCCCGGCCGTGGCTTGGGGCTCCTGGATCCCTAAGACTCAAGAGCGGACTTCCTGCCAGGTGCCACACGCCCCCAGCCACAGAGCACATGGCCCACTGAGCACCTCTGGGTGTGGTACCGAACCAAGCAGCCAAGGAATGGCCAGGCAGAGAAGTGTACAGGCGAGTCCCAGCACCTGGCTGGTTGGCCCCTGGCTCGGTCCCGTCCATGGCATCCTGCAGGTTGCCACCTAACTTCAGGGTACAAGCCAGCTCACCATTAGGTGCCTTCGCCTGTGACCACTGGCCCTGGTCCAGTCTTCCTAGTCCCTGTGCTACGGACTCAGGGTGCCGCAGGGCCAGCACTATGGGCTCAGGGTCAGTTTGCACCCACTTTGTTTCAGTTTGGCAAGCCTGATGGTTTGGGGTTTTCTGGGGGTACACCTGGCAGTGCCCTGGGCTTACTCCTGGTTCTCTGCTCAGGGATCACGCCTAGTGGGGCTGAGGGGACCTATGGGGTGCTGGGGATCGAGCACGGGTGAGCCGTGTGCAAGGCAAGTGCCCTCCCCACTGTACTATCTCTCGGGCCCCTAGCAAGTCAGTTTTTCTCATGCTTCACACCGCATGTCCCTGAGAATGTTGCCGCTGTCCCAAGGGGCCTTGCTAAGGGGACCCTGAGAGGGAGGGGTGATGGGAAACATCCCTGGCTGAGACCCCGGAATGTGGCTTGAGCGAGGATGGCAGGAGCCCTGGGGTGGGGCCAAGTTCTGGAACTGAGGGAGGCTGAGCTGGAGGTGCGGCTGTGCTGGTCCCTGAGAGGCCTTTGCTCGCAGGTGACGGCGTCTACCAGAAGGGCATGGACTTCATTCTGGACAAGCTCAACCACGGGGACTGGGTGCACATCTTCCCCGAAGGTCAGTGGGGACACCCCTCCGGCCGGGGGAGGAGCGGAGCGGGCGCCCCCTCACCCCGCTCTGTGCCCACAGGGAAGGTGAACATGAGCTCCGAGTTTCTGCGCTTCAAGTGGGGTAAGGGCCAGTGGGCGCAGTGGGGCAGGGGCAGGGACAGTGGCTCGGGGAGCCGTCCGGGCCCACCTTCGGTCATCTCTCTCTGAGCAGGGATCGGGCGCCTGATTGCCGAGTGTCGCCTCAATCCCATTATCCTGCCGCTGTGGCACGTGGGTGAGCCTCCCTCGGGGCATGGGGTGGGCGCGGGAGTGGCAGGTGTGCCCAGTGCCCACCCCGCGCTCTGGCCTCGTGTGCAGGAATGAACGACGTCCTGCCCAACAACCCACCCTACTTCCCGCGCTTTGGACAGGTGCGTACGGGCCACCCGCTGAGCCCGAAGCTCCGGCGGGGTGGCAGAGGGGCGGCCTGGCATCAGCTGCCATCCTGACCTGAGGCGGGCCGGGGGGCTTGCGGTGGGGAGCCAGTCCCCCGGGACGGGGGGGACTTGGCTCTGAGCCCAGCCGTGGCCCGCAGAGAATCACCGTGTTCATTGGGAAGCCCTTCAGCACCCTGCCCGTGCTCGAGCGGCTCCGGGCCGAGAACAGGTCGACGGTGAGTGCCCCTCAGCCCTTCCAGGGCCTGGGCAGCTGCGGAGGCCACAGGCCGACCCCGCCCTTGCTCGACCTTGTCGCAGGTGGAGATGCGGAAGGCCCTCACCGACTTCATCCAGGACGAATTCCAGCGCCTGAAGACGCAGGCGGAGCAGCTGCACCACCACCTACAGCCCCGGAGATAGACGCCGGGCTGCCCTGCATGACGCAGCGCGTGGCCCCTACCTGCAGGTCCTCAGGGGCCTTGGCTGCTCCCCGACCAGGCCCCAGCAGGGCCTCCTTGGCCTTCCGCCCGAGGGGCCTGGGAGCCAGCAGCTGCTCAGGGATGGCTGGCCGCCTCCTCGGTCCCCGCCGCTGCCACGGTGCGAGCGGTGCAAGAGCAGCCCGTGGCCGGAAAGGCTGGAGGGACTCTGGGCTGGGTTTTTAGGATTTGTAAACAATAAAGCATCCTTGTCATGCTGTTTTATCCCTAGCCCGGCGTGCAGGTGGGGATGGTGGCTCTTGTTCCCGGGCGAGCACTTGTCTCTGGGCACTTCCGGAATCTCTGAGGCTGGCAGGCTGGTAGCGAAGTCCAGAGAAGTCAGAATCCCTTCCATCCTCCCCAGGGGTTCCTATGGACCCGGGTCCCCAAGCCCTGCGCGGCGGCGGGGAGAGCCCCAAGGGCCAAGGTGGTTGTGTGGACGTGCACTTGTAGGAAAGCACTTTATGGCCGCCCCTTTTTTCTCTGTTTGGGGGCCAAATCCTGGCTCTGTGCTCAGCGATTATTCCAGAAGGGACCTCCAGTTTTTATACGCTTAGGATCCACCAAAAAGAATTCCTAAGGATCCCTGACCATGGAAGGAATTGAAACACTGCCATTAGCACAAACGGGAAGAAGTGCTGAAATCCTGGGCACTTCAGGAACTGACTGTCCATATGTGGCCAGTGCTGTTAAGTAGAAACTCACCGGTGAGGAAGGCCCCTGCTGTGCACGCTGCTGACCCGTTGCATACCCAGCACCACAGCTGGTCCTCGGCCACTCCAGGAGTAAGCCCCAAGCACTTCTGGCTGCGGGCCCCACAACCAGAAAACAGCGCCGCAAGTAAGATGGGAAGAAAGAAAAACGAGCCACAAAACCAAGCCAAAAACAAAGCTAGATTTACTTCATCGGGGGGAGAGGAAAAGCTATTCCAGGGCATGGCACCACCTAGTGGCCCCTAAGCACTGCCTGGACGGCCCTCCGAACAAAAACACGAATCTGGGGACCAGATATGCGACCCAGGAGGCTGGGGATGTGGCTTCTCTAGAGCCTCACACTTACACGAACCATGCCAGGTGCCCCAGTCCCATGCCCCCAGCACTGCGCAGTCTTCTCCCCAGAGCGGTGGTACAAAAACATTAAAACGGTGATCAGGACTGTGACTGTAAGGAGCTATCATTGTTACTGTTTTGGTTTGGGTCTGCACCCAGCAGTGCTCGGGCCTTACTCCTGACAGTGCTCAGGAGGCCATGTGGGGTGCCAGGGATTGAACCCGGGTTGACCAGGTGCAAGTCAAGTGCCTTTCTCCCAGTACTATCACTCCGGCCCAAAGCTCAGAGGTTTTACAAAATCACTGGAGGGAAAAGGCCCGGGAAATGAGAAGCGCTGGCGAAGGGATATGCAAAGTGGAGGAAAAGCAGCCCGGCTTCCCGCGCTCCAGTCACAGCCTTCGCAGGTGCTCATGCTCGGACAACATGGTGCTCATCTGTGCCAGCCACTTAGAAGTGGGATGAAGGATGATGTTAGGGGTGGAGTGGTAGCACAGCGGGTAGGGTGTTTACTTTGCACGCCGCCGACCTGGGTTTTATTCCCAGAATCCCATATGGTCCTTGTAGCACCGCCAGGAGTAATTCCTGAGTGCTTGAGCAGGAGAAATCCCTGTGCACCACCGGGTGTGACCCAAGAAGCAAAAAAAGAATGTTTTTAATCATTTTTAAATCTTACTGGGAGGGTCTGCGTGACACCCCGGGGACCCCCAGCTCTTACTCCTAGCTCTGCTCAGGAATCACTGCTGCTGGTACTCAGGGAACCGTATGCAGTGCCAGGGATCAAATCCTAAATGGTTGCGTGGCCCTGCACTACCTCTGGCCCTAAGTGGAATTTTTTCCCTCAGCAATTCCCACATCAGGAAAATAACCCAGGGGCTGGAGTGATAGTACAATGAGTTCAATCCCCAGCACTCCATATGGTCCCCTGAGCCTGCCAGGAGTGATCCCCGAGCACTGCCAGGTGTGGCCCCGAACCAACAAATTCAACCCAGAGGTCAGAGACACACTACAGAGACACAGCGGGTAGGGCGTTTGCTCAGCACGCAGCTTGCCTGGATTTGATCCCTGGCACCACATATGGTCCCCCAGTCCCCACCAGGTGTGACCCTAAAATAAAAACAAAAACCGAAGCCAGGGAGGATGGGATGTCACGTGGGCTGGCTGAGTCCCAGATGCAGAACCCACAAACACACTGGAGGGGAAGGGGCAGCTAAGAGGTGCGTGCACACTGTTCATGGCCAAGGGTGCCATCCTCATTCCTGCCCCACTGCTGCCCAAGTGTCAGCTGCCTGCCTGCCTTTCCTTTTTGTCTGTTTCTGGACCACACCCAGCGATGCTCAAGGGTTATTCCTGCCTCTGTACTCAGGAATTACTCTTGGCAGTGCGCAGGGGACCATATGGGATGCTGGGCACTGAAACCGGGTTGGCACATGCCAGGCAAACACCCTACCCGCTGTACTATCACTCCAGCCTCTGTATTTCTATTAGATCCGTTTGATTCAACTGTTTCATCAAGAGTTCTGCTTTTATATCCAGTAACAGAATGTTGCATTTCTCACTTTGTGTTTCCACTACATATTCATCTCCATAAATAGAATTTTTGAGTGCCAAGCGAACCTGGGCACCCCACTGGTGAGTCTCAGGCTACCAGGCTACTGGGCAGGCAGGTCAGTATAAGCACCCAAGGCCCTGTAAGGTGCTATTCAGGCCCTGCATGGCACCCCAGTGGAGCTGGGGGCCTCCAGGGCTGCACCTGGTGATGCCTTGAGGACCGTGAGTGCCGGGGGGCTCAGATCTGAGCTGGGCATCTGCTAGGCAAGTGCTAACTGCTGTGCTAGCTTCCTGGTCCCTCATCTGCACACACCACAGAGAAATATAGTTTTGCAGGGTGAACATATTTTGGGCAGGCCAGAGATACAGTATAGGCATGAAGGCACTTGCCTAACTTGCAACTAACTCCAGTCCAATCCTCAGCACTACATAAGATTCCCTGAGCGGGGCTGGAGTGGTAGCATAGCGGGTAGGGCATTTGCCTTGCACGCGGCCGACCCGGGGTTCAAATCCAAGCATCCCATATGTTCCCCCGAGCACCGTCAGGAGGTATTCCTGAGTGTAGAGCCAGGAGTAACCCCTGTGCATTGCCGGGTGTGACCCAAAAAGTCAAAATAAAATAAAAAATAATGATTAAATGTTAAATAAAAAAAGATACCCTGAGCAATGCTACCAATGACCTCTGAGCACAGAGATGGGAATAGCATCTGGGTACCAGATGTGGCCCCAATCCCTCCAGTTTTTGCAGATTTTGAATCTGGCATAAATACTTCTGAGCTACCCGGATGTTCTGCAGTCTGAATTTTAAAATATAGAGGTAGAGGGCTGGAGAAATAGACCTGCACACAGCTGAGCCCAGTTTAATCCCTGGAACTATAAACAGTCCCTGAGCATCACCAGGAGTGAGGCACCAAGAGTGAGCCTTCGCACTGTTGGGTGTGCTTTGAACCCTCCCTTCCAAATATAGGTTTGCAGTGTAGTATAGGTGTTAAGGCACTTGCCTTGCCTGTGGCTGACCCCATTTTGAACTCCAGCACCACATGGTCACCTGAGTGCATTAAAATAATTTATTGAATCATCATGAATTACAGTCACAAAATTATTTATGATTGAGTTTCTAGGGGACAATGTTGGAGCACCCAATCCCTTCACCAGTGCCCACTTCTCTCCCCCAATGTCCCCCGTTTCCCTCCCAGGCCCAGCCTGCCTCTCTGGCAGGCACTTTTTTTCCTCTTTTCCCCGTTTAGGCACTTTGGTTTACAATACTGTTACTGCTGGATCATGGTATCACCTTACCTCCTTTCAGAATCCATTCCTCATCCAGACCCTGAGCACTTATAGTACAGAGTCAGGAGTAAGCCTTGAGCACTAGGTGTGACTTAAAAAAACAAAATAAATGAATAAAGGAGTTTTAGGTTCACAGCAAAACCGTGAGTACTTAGGTCCCCAAATTCACAGCTCCAGACTCCCAGATTCAACCGAGATTGTAAAGTACATAATATCTAGAGATATCTATGGTAGAGTGGGTAGGAGCATGTGTGGGCGTTCTCGCTTGCTATCACTCTCTGAGCAATATGACCTCTCTACCTAGCATTTACCCTGAACTGGGGATTAAAAGTCATCTACAGATGATCTCAAGAACAGGGGAGTTGGTTCTTTGCAAATTCTGTTGGCTTTACAAAGGGACCCTGTGCACCACCCATGGGCGGAGGCATCCAAGGGCGGGGCCGGGGTGGTTCCTGAAACCAATTCCCTGAGGACAGGCGGATGACTGCATAAAGGAGGGATAGAATACTTGTTGCTCGCGTCTGATTCCATCCCTGGCACTAAACAACATCTATTTAAAAAATCAAAGAAGTTGCGGCCAGAGCGACAGTCCAGCGGGTATGGCATTCCATGTGGTTCTCTGAGCACAGTCAGAAGTAACCCCTGAGCATCACCAGGTGTGGAGCACCCCCACTCGAAAAATCCCAAAGAGAGAAAGAAGGAAGGAGGTTGCTAGGGAGATGGCTCAAAGGGCTGGAATGCGAGCTTTGCATGGAGGCGTCCCGGGATCATTCCCCAGCACTTCATGGTCCCTAAACTGCAGGGGAATGACCCGTGAGCAATGTGTGGTGAGTAGTTCCTGAGCACCACCAGGTATGACCCCTAAACTGGTACCTAAATAAATACGAAATTGAGTCCTCGGGGTCAGAGAACATAGCTCAGTGGGCTAGAGCTCAGCTGGAGTCCTGGGTTGAATTCCTGGAAGCACACGGTCCCCTGAGAACTACCAGTAGTGACGCTGGGCACTAATCCAACAGTGACCCCAAACACTGTGAGCTAGATCCCCCCAAATCAAATGAAATAGAGTTCTCCTCTACCTCTCCGTCCCTGGCAGCCTCTCCTATCACCAACAATCATCATCACATCATTACTCTAGCACACCAGCAGTGCTCAGGGCTTAACCCTGGCGGGCTCGGGGGATCCTATAGGGTGTCAGGAATCAAACCCGGGTTGACCATGTGCAAGACAAATGCCCACCCCGCTGGACTATCGCCCCAGCCTCCACATTTAGGATTGATAGGCATGTTTATAACAAATACTTTCAACACTTAGTCCTAAAGGCAGGGGAGGGTGGGAAAGGGGGGGTATACGGGGATATTGGTGGTGGGGAATGTGCACTGGTGGAGGGAGGGTGTTTGGTCATTGTGTGATCGTAACACAAACATGAAAGCTTGTAACTATCTCACAGTGATTCAATAAAAAAAAACCTTAGTCCAGTGCTAAGTTCCTCACTAGCTGGGGAGTTTCTTTTTTTTTCCCTTCTATTTTCCAACAAACCTTTGTCTTTCCCAAAAACATAATAATAATTTTATTTTTGCTTTTTGGGTCACACCTGGCGATGCAGAGTGGTTACTCCTGGCTTTGTACTCAGGAATTACTCCTGGCAGTGCTCAGAGGACCATATGGGATGCTGGGAATCAAACCTGGGGGTCGGCCGTGTGCAAGGCTAACGTCCTGTCCACTGTGCTATCACTCCAGCCCCATAATAATAATTTTATGGAGCCAGGGAGGCGGCTCAGTCAAAGCGCACAGGTCTCATACACACAGATTAATTTAATATCAGAGAGGAAATCAACTAAAAACAAACACATGGATTTAACTTTCAGTTCACCTCTTGCCTGGCAACATTTAAGGAGGATTCTTCATTTTTTAAGGTTCTGGGGGTGGAACCCAGAGTTTCCACACACAAGGCAAGTGCTTTATCCCTGAGCTACATCCCTGGCCAAGGAGGAGACTTTTTGTTTGTTAATTTGGGAGCAAGGGCTAGTCCTGGCTCTGTGCTCAGGAGGGCCCCTTTGGCAGTGCTCAAGGACCAGAGGAGATGTTGGGATTTGAACCTGGGTCGTAGCTATTGCAACCTCCTGCAAGGCATGTGATAGACCTCCTAAACTATCTGTCTGGTCCCATTTTTCAAAAATACAAAATACTGCAGCAAGAATCTATTCAGACACTCTACCTTTTTTTTGTTTGTGTGTTTTTGCTTTTCAGGTCACACCTGGCAATGCACAGGGGTTACTCCTGGCTCTTGCACTCAGTAATTACTCCTGGCGGTGCTCAGGGGACCATATGGGATGCTGGGAATCGAACTCGGGTCGGCCGCGTGCAAGACAAACGCCCTACCCGCTGTGCTATCTCTCCAGCCCTCTACCTATTTTTAATAGAGTTCATTTTGTTAAAAACTCATTGTTGTGGCTGGAGCGATAGCACAATGGTTAGGGCGTTTGCCTTGCACTCGGCCAACCCAGGTTCAATTCCCAGCATCCCATATGGTCCCCCGAGTACCTCCAGGAGTAATTTCTGAGTGCAGAGCCAGGAGTAACTTCTGTGTATCGCCGGATGTAACCTAAAAAGCAAAAACACACAAACAAAAAAAACCCAATAAAATGATAATTAAAAAAAAACTCATTGTTACAGGCCAGAGTGGGTAGTACAGTGGGTAGGATGCTTGCCTTGAATGCAGTCCACCAGGGTTTGATCCCCAGCACCACATATGATCCCTGAGCTCAGAGCCAGGAATAAGCCCTGATCTCCAAACAAACAAAAACCATTTTATTGTTTTTTTTTTAGCTTTTTGGGTCACACCCAGCAATGCACAGGGGTTACTCCTGGCTCTGCACTCAGGAATTACTCCTAGCAGTGCTCAGGGGACCGTATGGGATGCTGGGTATCGAACCCAGGTTGGCTGCATACAAGGCAAATGCCCTTCCCGCTTTGCTATTGCTCCAGCCCCCCCCCCCCAAAAAAAAACATTTTTAAAACCCTCACTGGGAGCTGGAGAGATAGTACGGGGTGTGGGAGGGAGCAGTAGAGCATGTGTGGCTTCCAGGAATCCAGGAGAAATTCCTGATTGCAGAGCCAGGAGTCAGGAATTATCCCCTGAGCACCAGGTGTGGCCCTCAAACAAACAAAAAAAAATCCCTTCATCATTATTAAGGTAACTGCTTACAATAGCATCAATGTTTATACCTCAGTCACCACCAAGGGGTCAAAAAGGAAGATGATCCCATTATTCCTTTTTAATTTTTCAGGCCACGTCTAAGTCATTACTCCTGGTTCTGGAATCTTGGCAATGCTTGGGGGACGAAATGGGGTCGAACCTGTGTGGACTGCAAGCAAGGCAAGCACCGTGCCTCCTGTACCCTACCTCTCTGGCCCCTATTTCATTGAAAAAGCCATACATCTGGGCCACGCCAGGTGGGGCCGTAGGCTACTGAAGTTCTGCCCAGTGCTGGGGTGGGTTGGTCACTCCTGGCAATAATTCCAGGACCAGGGGAGACACAGGGAAAATTCCCAGCCTTTTTCTTGCAAAGCATTTTGCAATGTGCTTCTGCCTTCTGAATCATCTCCCACCCCGACAAAGAGGATTATTTTTGTTGTTGTTGGGGGTACACTCAGCTGTGTTCAGGGCTTATTCCTGGCCAGACTGGGGGAACTATAAAGGGTGCCAGAGATGGAACCATGGTTGGCAGTGTGCAAGGGTCTCCCCTATCTCTTGAGCCCTGGAGGGTAATTCTTTGTTTTGGGGTCATACTCAGGGGATACTCCTCAGTCACCACCAACTCAGGGATCACTCCTGCAATGGTTGGGGCTGGGTTCGCTGCCTGCATGGAAAATACCCTACCTGTACTCTGTCTCCTGGAGGATACTGTTAAAGGGAAGGGGAACCCTGAATGATAGGGAGTAGGATGCCAGAAGCTCCAAGGCAGTTCTTAAGTGCTACAAGCCAGCACCTGCTGCCCTGAGAATGGAGCTCTACATAGCTTCCAGGCAGCTGCATCATGGCAGAGGTAGAGCCAATCTGGTGACCGTTGGCAACAATAGTTCCACCGCCTGAGGAAGCTGGGGGAGAACTGAACTGTGGGAACAAAAGGCAATGGGAGTGCCGTGAGGGTTTCTGCAGCGAAGACGGAGTGGGTCTCGCGGGGCTGCAAGGGGCCTTCGATCCACGGCTCAAGGGTCCACGCAGATCCTGGCGGTTGGCCTGGCGAGAAGAGAACTAGAGCACGCACTGATGATGGACAGAGTAGATAATGTCCCGCATCCCCTTCACAGGCGGAGGGACAGCGCAACTCCATCTGCTCAGCCTCAGCTCGGAGACTGTTTCAAAACACAGACACCCGGACTTAGCCTACCCTTGCTGCTTTAGGGGTTCTCGGCCAGACACAGGTTCTTGCCAAGAATTGGGCAGAGTTTTGTGAAGTTAAGGGGCTTTGACATTTCCTTTGATTGTATGCTTCATGTATTGGTGATACAGTATTAAGGCAGAACTAGTTACATATGCGTTTGAAACAGAAGTATAACATGAAGTCTATATGTATCTAAAAAGATTTTCTTTTTGGTTTGGGAACTACATCCAGCGGTACTCAGGGCTTACTCTTGACTCTACGCTCAGGGATCACTCCAAGCACGCTTGGGGGACCATATGAAGTGCACAGGATCAGACCCAGGTGGGTCTCGTGCAAGACAAACGCCCTACCCGCTGTGCTATCTCACTGACCCACATTTTCCACCTTTTCCTAGGTATATGCAGTCACATGGAAACATTGCAATGATTCCCAATGACTTGGGGTCCTCAAGTGTTTTTTCTGGGGTGCCAGGCATGGATTTCAGGGCCTTACACCTGTGATCCAGGTGCTCCAGTACTGAGCCACCTTCAGGGCCCCTGAAGAAGGGGTTCAATAAAGAATGCCTAAAAATGAAGCCTCAGACAGGTGTTTGTTGGTGCCCATTGTATTTCACTGCGTGTGGGGCATCACAGCAGCCAGTGCAGCTGGCTCATGCAGTGTGAGGGATCAAACCTGGGGCGGCTGCATGCAAACAAGCCCTTCAGTCCCTTGAGGCATCTCCCCGCACCTTCACTTACCTTTAGACTTGCAAATCAAATGAAATTGCAGATTACTTACTCCATTTCCTCCTCAATAGAGTACAAACGTATCGTTTGTGTTCAATATTTGGTCACGGTCCCCCCTTTTATGTTTGTTTCTTTTTTAAAAAAAATTTATTAGTGAAACACCATGAGGTACAGTTGTAGACTTACAAATTGTTGTGCTTGGGTTTCAATTATACAATGATCAAATTATGTTTACGTTTCTAATGATGGGAAATGATGGAGAAAAAGATGCCAGTCTTGGGGGCTGGAGAGATAGTACAGCGGTAGGGCGCTTGCCTTGCTCGAGGCTGACCTGGGTTCAATGCCCGGGACCCCATTAGGTCCCCGGGCACTAATAGGAATGCAGAGCCAGGACTTAACCTGAGCACAGCCAGCGTGACCCCCAAAGAGCAACAAAACAATGGCAACAATCTTTCCCTTCGTTGGCTGCATTGTTTCTCCTCTTCTGACACTAGCTGTTACTCTGCAAGACTTCCGGGAAGGTCCGCTCTCTTCCTGCTTCTGCACTTGCAAATGGTGACACTGCTGTGGCCCAGTCTCCCGCTGCCCTTTCCCAGCCGCATCTTACCTGCCGACACTGACACTGCTAGTCCTGGTGGCCTTGCAACCAGGCTTCTACCTCTGGTCCCCTCCGCGCGCTGATGTGCCTCCCTTATGTCTCTCTCTAAGTGTGGGGCTCCTCCAGGTGCCGTCCTGGGCTCTCTGGCCACCTCACCTGGACCCGGTGGGCCCTCGGCAGGAAGAAGTGGTCACTGCACTTTTAAGCTGAAAGGAAGTTAGAGACCTGTGGAGCGAGGCCGGCTTCCGCCCCACCTAGCCCGCAAGGCTCCAGCCCGAGGCGGCGGGCGCGAGAGGGAGGGCGGGCGGCCGGGCTAAACCCGTCGAGTTCGGCCCCGCCCTCTCGCTTAGAGCGTGCGCGCCCGAGACACGTAGGACCAACCGGGAGCAAGGAACGGCTTGAGTGGCACTCTCCTAGCCCAATAACCTGTGGCCCAGGTAAACGGTCTTCGACCCGGACCAATGACGACGCGGGGCGGGGCTCGTGTGGGGGCGACGGTCACCTGATCAACCGCGGCGGCGGCAGACAGAGGCCGCGGACACCTCGGCGATGATGGCGGCTACTGCGGCGGGTTGGGCTCAGGCCGGGACCAGGCGGGCCCCGCCGCCCTGGCAGATGCCGTGGCTGCCGCTGCTGCTGGTGGCGGCGGCGGCGACGGCGGCGGCAGAGCAGCAGGTGCCCCTGGTGCTGTGGTCGAGTGACCGGTGAGCAGGGCGGAGCGGGCTGGGGCAGGCAGCGCTGCGCGCCTCCGGGGGTTGAGGTGCTGTCGTCCACTCCCGGGCGAAGCGGACCCTAGGCGGGACTGTCGCTTGCCCGGCGGCCCGTAGCGAGTCGCCCGATGGGAGCTCCGGGATTCGCTCCCCCGGGTACGGGGTCGCGGCTTCGACCTCGAGCCCTGCCCGCCTGCTTAGCAGCGCCTCTGCCCCCTGCCAGGGACTTGTGGGCTCCTGCGGCCGACGCTCACGAGGGCCACATCACCAGCGACATGCAGCTCTCCAACTACTTGGGCCCCGCCCTGGAGCTGGGGCCCCGCAACGTGCTGCTGTTCCTGCAGGACAAGGTACGGACGCCCTGCAGCCTCTTGTCCCGGGCCCCCCGAGAGCAGGCAGGCCGGTCTGACCCTCAGAATGCTGGGACCCCTTCGCCAAGGCCAGTTCCAGTGACCTTGGCCCAGGGTAGGGAGGTGTGACATCTCTCTTGGGAAGGCCCGTGGAAGGTTCACTGGGGATGTGAGGACCCCGAAATGGCACCCATGGGTTGGGAGAAGCCAAGAATCAGAAGGCAGACGCCTACTCTGTGCCTGGCTCTTAACTGAGTGACTACATGGTGGGGATTGTCTACCCTATTGGAGGAAGAGAAGACTGAGGACCGGGAGAAGTGACGAGCCCAAGGTCACAGAGTGAATGAATGAATGAGGGGCAAAATGAATGGGATTTTGAGTGTGATGACTATAGTAGCGACATCACAACGCAATCACTGACTGAGTGTTTTGTAGCACTGTGCTAAGCCAATGTCATTATTTTGTCTCTCTTTCCAAGAGAATTGGGGCTTGTGAAGCTACAAAGATAGGCAAAGTTCACATTTTCTTTCCTTTTTTTTCGCTTTTGCACTACACCCAGCAATGCTCAGGGCTTATTACTGGCTCTATGCTCATAGATTGCTCCTAGTAGGGTCTGTGTGATCATTATTTGGGGTCCCAGGGATTAAATCTGCCTCAGCCACACACAAGACAAGTGCCCTGCCTGCTGTACTATTTCTCCAATCCCCAAAGTTCATGGTTTCAACACTGCACAACTGCTTCCTGCCTGAAGTCACTGGCCCTGCCCCACCAACAGCCCAGAGTGTGCCCAGAGCACAGGCAGCAACTGCTTCTACCCTCGCATCCTGGTCTCTGCCGTGCCTGAGCAAGCAAGGGGTCCAGAAGAAGGGGATCAGGCATTGTGGGTTGGAGTGTTGCGCGGGCTGGTTACTCCCGTGATCTTCCTTACTCTGTGCACAGGACTGGGAGTCATAGCTGCCCACGGTCCTCTGGGAGGGGCACAGAAGGCTGTTGGACAAGAATTTAGTTCTGGTCCGACTGCTTTGCCTTTCCCTGGATGTCATTCTCTCTCTGTCTGTCTTTCTGTCTCTCACACTGCCCCACATTTCAGGCTCCATGGAGCAATTGTTTTCCTTTTACAGAAAGTGCTCAGGGGCTGCTGCCGACTCTTCTGTTTGTTCTGGCAGTGCTGGGGTACCACGTCATGCTGGGGATTGAACCCGGGCCCCTTGCATGTAAAACATCTGTTCAGCCCCCCAAGTTGTATCTCCTGCGCCAAGGAGCAGTTCTTAGAAGCCCCCTATAACATCCATTCATGTGTCCGCTTTTGGGTGTCTGTGATGTCTCTTGTTAAGGAGCCTAAGACCACCTGAGGGAGGCGGCTGAGCCCTTGATACCGGCCCTAAGCTCAGTCTTCAGAGTAGAAGGAAGCAGGGGAAGGGCGTAGCAATAGAAATGCCGGGTTTCAAATCCCTGGGAGTGGGCAAGGCTGGGCCTGGGACCTCAATCAGTGGGGATGAAGGGAGCCAGAAGAATCTCGGCAGAGGGCACTCCAGGCAGAGCACAAGGCCAGAGTGAAGGGGCCGTGGGGCCGGGAGGCAGGAAAGGTTGCTTGCAATTCTGTTTGTTTGTTTGGGGGTTACACTTAGCAGTGCTCAGAGCTTACTCCTGGCTCTGCACTCAGGAATCACTCGGGGGACTGGGGATCGGACCTGGGTCAGCTGCGTGCAAGGCAAGCTCCCTGCCCGTTGTGCTACTGCTCCTGTGGCTAGAAGCTTTGAGCCATCACATTCAGGTGGCCGAAGTGACTGCCCCGAGGGCGAGGAGGCAGTAGTGAGTGTACTAAACACTGGAGTGCTGGCCACCGATAAGGATCTAGCTGAACTGGGAGAAGCCAGTCAAGCCAGGAATCGGTGTGGGGCAGGAATTCAAGGGCAGTCTAGGTGGCTCCAGCTCTCCTCCCCAGCGGCTCCCCTCGGCAAAGGGGCCGCCAGGCAATTCTCCTTTTCTGCTTCTGGCCCCGCACTTCCCTCTTGCCTGCTCAGTTCCTCAGTTGACTCGTAGTCCCGAGGCTAGCACGAGGGAGCTGGCCTGTCCGCAGGCTTCCTGCTTTCTCAGCCCGCCCCTCCAGGAGGCTGCTGGGAGGGAGTCTGCCTTCCTCCCCAGTGTGACCCCCCACTCCTGTGAGCTGCTCAGGTCTGACTAAATGAGGTCTAGCTGAGCCTGAAAGTGTACAGGGAGGAGCTGGAGCCAGAGGCCAGCCAGCATGGGGTTCCCCAAGCAGAGACAAGAGCATCGCCTGGTGGAAAGTGCCAATGCACAGAATGCACAGGGCAGTCTGCCTGTGGCCCTGACCATGGTCCTGACTGGCCCGCGCCCATCCTCTGAGCTGACTCCCTGCTTCCCTGCTAGCTGAGCATCGAGGACTTCACAGCCTATGGCGGTGTGTTTGGAAACAAGCAGGACAGCGCCTTTTCCAATCTGGAGGTAAGAAGCCTCCCTCCGGGGAGCCGTGATGCCGGCCTAGGTGTGGGAAGGCTGACCGAGTGCACCAGTACTGGGATGTGTGGGTGTGCGGGACTGGCCCAGCCCCACCGGACCCCAGCTCACTGGCCTCCCCCTCCCCTCCCTCCCCGTCCCCAGAATGCCCTGGACCTGGCGCCCTCCTCACTGGTGCTTCCTGCCGTCGACTGGTACGCCGTGAGCACCCTGACCACTTACCTGCAGGAGAAGCTCGGGGCCAGCCCCCTGCACGTGGACCTGGCCACCCTGCGGGAACTGAAGCTCAACGCCAGCCTCCCGGCCTTGCTGCTCATCCGCCTGCCCTACACGGCCAGGTACGTCCGGGTTCTGGGCTCCTGCAGCCTTTCGGCCACAATGGCTCTCCTCTGCATGCCAGCCCTTCCACGGGCACCCTGGACTCCGGCTCTGAGCCAGGCCTATTGAGGCTCTGCAGATGAAGCCAGCATGGGGGGTGTGGGCGGGGACCCCTGGGCCAGGCCCTGTGCAGACCGATGCGCAGAGCAGGGGAGCAGAGGGAAGAGAGTCCGCGGTCTGTCCCTTCTCTGGCTCGGGGTGCCTGTAGGGGCGCTAACATGCTGGCTCTTCCGCAGCTCGGGGCTGATGGCACCTCGAGAAGTCCTTACTGGCAATGGTAAGTGAGGGGCCTTAGCTGGCCCTACCCCGGCATCAGCCGCAGACAGCTGGCCCTGAGCTCCATCCTCCCGAGGAGGCTCCTGTTCTCAGGGCAGGCCCTCGCGCGCTGCCAGGACACCTCCCTGGGTTGGAGGTTTCTGCTCAGGCCCTGGAAAGCCCGCAGTTTGGCCTTTAGGGGACCAAACAGCACTTCTGAGCACCGTGCTCGGGCCCGCCTCTCCCTGCACTGCATCGCGCCCCTTCCTGATCTCTTCCCATGCCGCGGAGACGGGGCTTGGCATTAGGGTGGAAGATGCTGCTACGTGGGTCACGGTGGAGGGGAGCTGGGGTGCAAGGACCACCCGGTGGTGTGAGCGGCTCTGAGGGCTTCCACCGTGGGGGAGCCGTGGAGGGGGCCGTCCGGTGTCTCCTCTCCACAAGAAGACCCCATGGAGCACTATCAAGAGAAGACAGCTGTGGGAGGTGGCCCCGAGGGCTAAGGCGCAGGCTTTGCATGCAAGGGCCCTGGGTTCCATGCCTGGCACCTCCTGGTCCCCCAAGGATGCAGGTGCAGCCGTTGGTGCCTTACCTCCTCGCCCTTGCCGGCTCCCTGGGTGCCCACAGTGGGGTACAAAGCCCACTGTGAGCAAGGCTGTAGCCGGCTGCCCTGAACTGCTTCTCTGCTCCCTGCAACCCTCAGATGAGGTCATCGGGCAGGTGCTGAGCACACTGCAGGCCGAGGACGTGCCATACACTGCAGCCCTCACGGCGGTCCGCCCTTCCCGGGTACGTGCCCCTTGGCCAGGGCTCCGGGAGGTGTGGGCGCAGGCTGTCTGGTGAGCCTGCCCGGAGGTGGGGTGTCCCGAGCCTAGCCCTGCCTGGGGCTTTTCTTCGGCCCAGGGTTGGTGTCCTGGGCCCTCAGCTGGGGGGCCTGAGAGACCAGCTGGCCAGCTGCTGAGTGTGATGGGCGGGGCACACAATTCAGCTGCGCTGACTGGGGCTTGGCGGCTATCTGCAGGTGACCCGCGATATATCCCTGGTGACTGGGGGGCCAGGGCGCCAGCTGCTGCAGAAGCGCTCCACGCCAGTCAAGATATATCCCCCTGTGAGTTTCAATGACACTGATCCCCGGATCCTGTTCTGGGCCCAAAACTTCTCGGTGGCGTTCAAGGACAAGTGGGAGGACCTGACCACCATCACCTTTGGGATCAAGGATCTTAACATGTCCGGCTCCTTCTGGAACGACACGGATGCCAGGTCGGGGGGGCCATTCTCATGACCATGGGATGGGCTGTGTTGGAGGACTTCCAAGCAGGGTGCTCGGGGTCTGCCCCTGGGGCTCTCCTGCCTCTCTGGGCTTGGAGTACCAGTGCCTTCCCCTCAAAACACCCCGGGGCAACTGCCAGTTCCCGGACCCTGGTCTTCTTTCCCCTCCGTCTCACCTCAAGCCCTGCAAGGAAGTTCAGGGCCCAGGGCGCATGGGCAACAAGAAAGAGTCTGCAGCTGAATGTGATTCCTGACTTGGGATGGCCCTCAGTGACCCCCTCATCGGGTGTGGATGAAGGCGTGGGGCGCTGGAGGGGGACCCCCCAGACTGAAAGCCCCTGGGGACTCTGGGGCCTGACCACTCGCCCCCTGCTCCACCCCGCAGGCTTTCTCTGACTTACGACCAACTCTTCTCCGCTTCCACGGTGACTTTCACGTGAGTCAGGGCTGGGGTGGTGGTGGCAGGGCTCCGGCTTCTCCAGCTGCCTGACACCCCCGGGCCCCTACAGATTCGTCCTGACCAACCGCTTCTACCCCGTCTCGGCCCGGCGCTGGTTCACCATGGAGCGCCTTGAGGTGCGCAGCAATGGCTCCGTGGTCTACTTCAACGCGTCCCGGGTCACAGCGCCCAGCACGTACTCCTTCCACTGCGAGTACGTCAGCACCGTGAGTGGCAACGGCGACCTCCTGGTGCCCCGCGTGCAGCCTTCTCTCTGGCAGATCCATCTCTGGGACTTCCAGGTATGAGGGCGGGGAGCAGGCGGGAGGGAGCCCAGGGGCGCGGCCTCACTCGCCTCTGGGCTCTGGAAGGCCCTGGAGCGTCCTTCCCGAGAGCGTGAGCGCATGACCGCAAGCCCTGTCTTTCACCGCCGCCCGTGTCCAGATCCAGGCGTTCAACGTGAGCAACGGGGAGTTCTCCTACGCCAGCGACTGTGCTGGCTTCTTCTCCCCGGGCATCTGGATGGGTTTGCTCACCTCCCTGTTCATGCTCTTCATCTTCACCTACGGCCTGCACATGATCCTCAGCCTCAAGACCATGGACCGCTTCGACGACCACAAGGGCCCCAGCATCTCCTTGACCCAGATTGTGTGAGCCCGCGCCCCAGAAGGCAGCCGGCGTGCTGGGGTCCCATCATCGGTTCCTCCCCCCCTCACCGAACCACACGGCTCTCCCCGTTCCAAGCACATGCCCCTCCCCCTTCCAACCGTCGCATGAACTTCAGCGCCCCTCAGCCTGTCATTCCCCGGTCCACCTGCTGAGGGCTGACCTTGACCCCCCTCGCCCCCCCAAAGATCAAGGTGTACATATCCCGTGTAGAGAGTAGGTGGATCTCCCAGGCTCAGCTCCTGGGGGGCAGACGTGAATTTCCGAGCCCCTCCCGCCCCGCCCCGCCCCTTATTTATTCTCACGGCGCGCTCGCGCTCGCCGCCCCTTGCTGTGTGTCGTGCTTTCCCGTGGCCCATGCCCGTCCCGGGGCCCCCAAGGGCCCCTTGCAGCGCCTGACTCTGGATAGGGCAGTGGTCCCGCGTGGGCGGCGAACAATGAGCCGCACGCCGGGGGTCCTTTCTGTGGCCCGGGAGGGTTCGAGCGGGGCAGGTGGGCTGGGGAGGACGGCTGGCTTTCTGGCATGTTCCTGCCGGCCGGGCGGGGCGGGGCGGGGGCCCGGGGCGCGCGCTGGATTGCTTCCTAATAAAATGAAGACGGGTCGCCGTGCGTGGGTCTCGGTCACTCAGCCCTCGGGCGCCGGGGGGCCGCGACGCCGACAATGGCCGGCTCCGGGCCCGCGGGGGGCCGCCCCCGGCTGCCGCAGCGGCGCGCCCCCGGCCCGCGGGGCCGCGCGAGCCTGGGGACGGGGCGGGCGGGGCGGGGCGCGCGCGGCTCCCGCGCAGGGATCCGGCCGAGCCGCAGCACCGCCACCCGCCGCCGGCCGTGCCCGTGGCGCCGCACTGCTGCCGCCGCCGCTGCCGGCTGCGGGGCGGGGCCGGGACTCTTTGACGCGGCGGAGGGGGCGGGCGGCGCGCCGCCATCTTTGGCCAGTGCGGCGGCGGGCGGCCGTGGGGAAGCAGGAGGAGGAGTCGGGCGCGCTGCAGCCGGCCTGACCATGGACGAGGAGTACGACGTGATCGTGCTGGGCACCGGCCTCACCGTAAGTGCGCCGCGGGCCCCCGTGCCCTGCGCCCGCGGGCCCGCAGCCTGCCTCGCCGCCCGCGGCCGCGTCTCCAGAGGACTGCCGGGTGCCCACCCCTCCGCCTCTGCCCGCGACCCGCGGCCCTCGCCCCAGCCCCGGGCCCGTCTCCGAGCCGCGGCTCGGTTCCCGGCCGCCCCCTCGCTTCCCTCGACCCCGGCCCCTCCCCCCTCCAGCCGCGCACCTGCGGGGCTGGAAATCGCGCCCGCACCCGTTGCGATGCCCCCACCCCGTACCCGTGACCCCGCCCCCCGGCCCGCGCCCCGCGCCCGCCCGCCCAGCATCCCCTCCCATTTTAAGCTAAACCCCGTTGGGATGCGATGGAAGGGGCAGGGTCGGGGGCTTTGCCAGGGTGGGCCCTCGTCTGGGCCTTTGGGGGGCCAGGAGAACCCCGAGAAGGTTCTAGAAGGCGCCGCAGTGGGGGCAGTGACCACGTTCCCGCTACCCCACCCTGGTTGCCCAGGGAGACCACAGGCTGAGGAATATCTGCATCCTTTGTCCTTGGCTGTTGACAGGGACTGTGCAGAGTGTTTATCTTCCCTGCCCCTCCTCATCCCCCGGAGTGCTCCCCCGAGACTCCGCTCCCTCGGGTGCTCCCAGAAGCCCCTCTTGCTGATGAGAACGCATGGGGGCTCCTGCCCTTTGAGGGAAGAGCATCCCAGGGCGCGGCCTGCCATCTCCGGCGCGGCGCGCTCCACTTCTGTGCTGCGCTTCCCGTGGGGGGGGGGGGGGGGTGCCCTCCGCTGTCTGGCCAGGGCTGGGTCTCGCCTGCGGCGCTCTGCGTAGGTAGATGCTATCTTGGTATGTTAGTCACCAGACGGCTGGCCCTGCATCTGCTGGACATCATCTCCCCGAGCCTGCCCGTTTCCTCCTCAACACTGCCCAGACACCACCAGCACCCCAGCTTGAGGCCGACGGGGCCTTGGCTCGGCACCCTGTGCGGGTAACGGTGCGTGTCGCCTCCTCCAGGAATGCATCCTGTCGGGGATCATGTCAGTGAATGGCAAGAAGGTGTTGCATATGGACCGGAACCCGTACTATGGGGGCGAGAGCTCCTCCATCACACCCCTGGAAGAGGTGAGGCCCCCCCAACCGCTGCACTGGGCCGCTCCAGGAGGGCGGGACTCGAGGTGCCTCTTTCTTTCCTGCCCGCTTGCAGTTGTATAAGCGCTTTCAGTTGCTGGAGGGCCCCCCTGAGGCCATGGGCCGGGGTCGAGACTGGAACGTGGACCTGATCCCCAAGTTCCTCATGGCCAATGGTGAGGGAGACGAAGGGGGCACTGGGGGGTGATGGGGCAGTAGAGGCGCTAGAACAGGGCTGGGGCCCTAGCAGAGGCACGGCGGAAGCTGGCCAACTGAGTGGCCTAACTGGGCTGCCTTGGCCCTGCCCCCACAGGGCAACTGGTGAAGATGCTGCTGTACACGGAGGTGACCCGCTACCTGGACTTCAAGGTGGTGGAGGGGAGCTTCGTCTACAAGGGGGGCAAGATTTACAAAGTGCCGTCCACCGAAACCGAAGCTTTGGCGTCCAGTGAGTTGAACCAGGCCCCTCTCCCTGGCTGCCCTCTGGGGCTGCACCTCCTCCTCCTCCAGAGGGGGTACGGTGGGAGGAGCTCCCGCAGCCTTCCATGGGACGAGGACCGGAGTCCAGGACCGGGGCTGGGACTGGATGGGGAGGGGAGGGGAGGTGGTGGCAGCGGCGCAAAGCGTTCCACACCCCTCCACAGATCTGATGGGCATGTTCGAGAAGAGACGCTTCCGCAAGTTCCTGGTGTTCGTGGCAAACTTTGATGAAAATGACCCCAAGACCTTCGAGGGTGTCGACCCCCAGAACACCAGCATGCGCGATGTTTACCGGAAGTTCGACCTGGGCCAGGATGTCATTGACTTCACTGGCCACGCCCTGGCGCTCTACCGCACGGATGAGTTAGGGAACACTGCCATGTGGATGGTCCCTTGCCCAGCGGGCACCCTGCCCTTCCCACTCCTGTCTGCCCTGCACCTGTCCTGTACTGGGCCGTTTCTCTGTCTCTGTCCTCACTCGGCCCAGGTTTCCCCAAGGCCATGCGGGTGGGGGGGGGGTAGGGTAACTGGGAGGCGGCATGGATGTGAGTTGGGGGTGCTGCTCCCCCAGGTACCTGGACCAGCCCTGTCTTGAAACCATCAACCGCATCAAGCTGTACAGCGAGTCGCTGGCCCGGTATGGCAAGAGCCCGTATTTGTACCCGCTCTATGGCCTTGGCGAGCTGCCTCAGGGCTTTGCAAGGTGAGGGGATAGCCTCGGCGACCAGAGACTGCCGGAGTAACTGGTCCAGCCGTGTCCGGGCAGCTCCCCTCATGGCTTCCCCAGGGCTGCGATGGGACCGTGCTGGGGCGGGGGCCCTGAGCGAGGCCTTCGGCATCACAGTCTACCCCCGCCAGGTTGAGTGCCATCTACGGGGGGACGTACATGCTGAACAAGCCTGTGGATGACATCATCATGGAGAACGGCAAAGTGGTGGGCGTGAAGTCGGAGGGAGAGGTGAGCCTTGCCACGGGGCCAGGAGGGCGCTGAGCAGGGAGGGCCTACACTGGCCACGGCACGATCTTGGTGCTTTCCCAGATCGCGCGCTGCAAGCAGCTGATCTGCGACCCCAGCTACATCCCGGACCGCGTGCGGAAAGCCGGCCAGGTCATCCGGATCATCTGTATCCTCAGCCACCCTATCAAGAACACCAACGACGCCAACTCCTGCCAGATCATCATCCCCCAGAACCAGCTCAATCGGAAGTCAGGTTCGTGAGCCTCCCGTGGTGTCCTCCTATCTTCTCGGGTGCTTCTGCCTGTCCCCGTCAGCTCCGGGGTCTGCTGTCCTTGGCTCGGGGCTCTGGGGATCAGATGACGGGGAGGACAGCGGCCCTAATGCACAGTTCCCTTGAGCAGACATCTACGTATGCATGATCTCCTATGCACACAACGTGGCCGCGCAGGGCAAGTACATCGCCATCGCCAGCACCACAGTGGAGACCTCGGAACCCGAGAAGGAGGTGGAGCCAGCCCTCGAGCTGCTGGAGCCCATTGACCAGAAGTGAGGCGCCGGGCAGTTGCTGGGTGGGCGGCTTGGTAGGGAGGGGAGCGGGGAACCTGACCGGGGGCCGGCGCCTTCGTGACCCTCTGCCCTTTCAGGTTCGTGGCCATCAGTGACTTGTTTGAGCCCATTGACGATGGTTCCGAGAGCCAGGTAAGCGGTGTGTCCTGGCTGTGGCTTCTGGTCATGTGCCCAGAGGCTCTGCCCAACTTGTCCCGACCCCGGGCTCTGCTGTTCGCAGGTGTTCTGTTCCTGCTCCTACGATGCCACCACACACTTCGAGACAACCTGCAACGACATCAAAGACATCTACAAGCGCATGGCCGGGTCCGCCTTCGACTTCGAGAACATGAAGCGCAAACAGAATGATGTCTTTGGAGAAGCTGACCAGTGATTGCTGACCAACCCCCAAGCACCCCAGTCTCCTCAAGGGTGCCCCTGTTTCCAGCACCCTCTGCTTCCCCAACTGCATTCCTGTTGCCCACCTCATTGATCCACTGACCAAACCCTTAACCTTAGCTATGGTTTGGGAGATTGGGGGCGGGTAGCATCTTCTTTCTTGGCCCTTCCTCACCCTGGGAAAAAAGGGTTCCTCCCTGTGTGTTTGTCTCCCCCACCCCGGAATCTTCTGCTCCGTTTGGAAAGAATGTGGAGGCAAAGCTGACTTCTGGCCCCCGCCGCTGTGACCCCCCACTCTAGTGGCCTTTGGAGATGCCCCTGCCTCCCCCCGCCGACTCCCTCGTGTGTTGGAGAAGGGGCCCTCCCAGCACAACGTTGCATCCCCCTTCCCCGTAATTTATTCTAATTTATTAACTTCCGCCCACCCCGGATGGAATGGAGCCCCTCGCTAGGTGGGCCTTGTGTGGGGCCGGCGAGCCTGCGGGACAGAGAGAGGGCTGGGGTGCGGCCCCCCGGCTTGCTCTTGCTGTTTCTGTTTTCGTCTTTGTGTTCGTGTCCTCCCGTCCTTGCCAGTTCAGAGATGGGAGCGAATCAGAGGCGGTGGGAACACGGCTCCACCCTTTCCTTTAGTGCTGGGAACCCCCTAACTTGCGAAGTGAATGTGTCCCTTCCCCGACCTCTAGTGTATTTCACAGCAAACCATCTCCCAATAAAGAACTTCCGACCTGAGCGCAGAGGCCCCCTTGCTTGCCTCGCCGCCCCAGGCTGGCGTTGGGGTGGGGGCGGGCGGGAGCGCACCTGCCGCGAGCGGCTCCGGGGCGAGCGGGGGCGCCCCCGTCGCCGGGCGCGGCGCGGCGGGAGGGGGCGGGGCGCGCGCGTCACGTGGGCGCGCGGGGCGGGGCGGCGGCGCGCCCGGGCCGACGTCAGCGCGCGGGTGCGTCAGCTGAGGGCGAGGAGAAGGCCGCCGCCGGCGCCGGGCTGTGCTGCTGCCGTGGTCCTCGCCAGCGCCGCCAGCGCCGCCGCCGCCATGGCCCAGTACAAGGGGGCAGCGAGCGAGGCGGGCCGCGCCATGCACCTCATGAAGAAGAGGGAGAAGCAGCGCGAGCAGATGGAGCAGATGAAGCAGCGCATCGCAGAGGTGCCGCCCGCGCCGCCGCGCCTTCCCCGGGCCCCCTGAGATCCCCGGGCGGTGGGCGCACAAGTCGGGGTGGCTGGTGGCACGGGGCCCCCTGGCGGGCACGCAGCACCCCACCGGAAACTTCGGTCTCCGGGCCCAGCGAGTCCAAAGCACTTGGGGAACCCGGGCAGAGCGGGCCGCGGAGCCCCAGGAAGCGGCCCCGAGCGCGTTCCCAGAGCGTGGCCTGTGGCTCCCGTCCCGCCCCCCCACAGGGGCCAGGGAGCTCCGATGTCAGGGAGAACCGCACCCCAGGAAAACGGCTCCATCGGGGTGAGCCCTGTGCAGGCCCCGCTGCGCTCACGGCTGCTCGCCCCCCCTCCCCCAGGAGAATATCATGAAGGCCAATATCGACAAGAAGTTCTCGGCGCACTACGATGCTGTGGAGGCCGAGCTCAAGTCCAGCACTGTGGGTGAGTGGGGCTGGGGGCCCCGCGTGGCACCCCCAGCCCAGATCCGCCTTAACTGTGCACCCCGCAGGCCTCGTCACCCTCAATGACATGAAGGCCAAGCAGGAAGCGTTGGTAAAGGAGCGGGAGAAGCAGCTGGCCAAGAAGGAGCAGTCAAAGGAGCTGCAGCTGTGAGTGCCGCTGTGGAGCCCGCCCTGCCTGCAGGGAGCTGTGTCTGCACCTCAAGGGGGAGGGGCACTGCCCCTCGTTGGGCCTGGGTCGGAATCACAGCCATGTGCAGGACCTTGACTCAACCCTGGGCCTTTGCATCAGGAAATGGGCAAGGTGGTACCTGCTGCCATCCGTGTCTTGGCAGGAAACTGGAAAAGCTTCGAGAGAAGGAGAGAAAGAAGGAGGCCAAAAGGAAGATCTCCAGCCTCTCCTTCACCCTGGAGGATGAGGAGGAAGCTGGAGAGGAGGACGAGGACGGGGTGGCCCTGTATGATGAGGAACTAGAAAGAGGTGAGGGCAGACTTGGGGACCTGTGCCAGACTTCTGGCTTTCAGAGGTGCAGTCTTCTCTAGCCTCAGGCCCCCACTGCCTGCAGAGAGCCGAGAGCCCCAGCACATACCCAGCCGAGAGATGTGGCTCTCTCGGGTGCCCATGCACAGGCTTCGGGAATGGAGCTAGGAGGGGGAGACAGACTAGGCCCTGGTGCTGAAAACTGGTGTTGAAATCAGTCACATTCAAACATACCTCGAGTTCCTTTGAGATCCGGGATGAGAATTAGTTTGCTTTGCAGCCCCATTTCCCATACCTGGTTGCCTGCATACTCGTTTACCCATGGGACCTTGGCAGTGGATTGTTCGTCCTGTTTGATCAGCTTGAATTGATGCAGTGTCTCCTGATTGGCTCCCCATGTCCCTCCCAGCTCTGGGCAGGGTCAGACTGTAGCCAAGGGGCCAGTCCAGGGCTCAGAGAATGGGTCCCAGGATTGGCCCTTGAAAGGAGAATTTCATTAGCAGCTCGAGAAGTGGGGAGCAGAGTGCCATGGAGAGTCAGATATCGGGGGGCCCAGCATTGTTGCTGGGAGGACCAGAGAGGAGTGGGTTGGCAGGCAAGGGCTGATGGAGAGCCAAGTGGCCAGGGAACAGCCGAGGGGACGCTCCAGGGTGCCCCAGGCAGGGATTGTGGCTGAGCTCACTCTTCTTGGGGGAAAATGAGTCCCATCCCAGACTCCTCAGGAAAGCGGCCCAGTTCTTGGTCAGCTGTTGGCAGCACGAGTGCTTTGTGTTACTCAGTATCTGGAGTGCTCTGGCCAACCCACTTCCATCTGGGGTGCTTGGAGGGTAGCGCCACTATTTGGGGCTACGTCTAGGAGCCTCCCTGCGACTTGCTTTGGTTTGTTCTTGAGCCACAGCTGGTGGTGCTCAGGGATAAGTCCTGGCAGGGGTGTGAGGACCCTAGGGGCTGAGTGCATGGCAAGCGTCCTCCCTGCTGGAGGCCAAGGGAAGATCTCCGGCCCCTCCTTCACCCTGGAGGATGAGGAGGCCTGATTTGAGCCCTGACATGAGCAGCAGAGAGCCCAGGGGCCCTAGGCCAAGACTATCTTTTTTACTTTTTTATTTATTGAATCACTGTGGGAAAAGTTACAAAGCTTTCAGGTTTAAGTCTCGGTCATGCAATTATCAAACATATTCCCCTTCACCAATACTTATTTTTCAGCACCAAGCACCCCAATAAACTCCCCTCTCCCAACCCTCCCAATGCCTGTGAGGCAGATGAATTCTAGTTAACACTCTATCTACTTTGATTAGATTCATTGTTTCGACAAAAGATGCAACGTTATTATTTAGAGTTTACACCCCCAAATCAGACATGCTGAAAAGGCATTGTGAAATAATTTGTTTTCTACAGCTGGTCACAAGAATCAAATGATGTCGTGCAGCCGCTATTGCGGCCGCACGATTTTGGATTTCTGGTATTTTACTTATTAAGCCTGGAAGTATTTCTGCTGAGAGTCAGATAATTATGAGATTGGTTTCTGTGCTCTGGAGCCATGGCCATGCCAGAATGCTGCTCATGGGGGGCAACTCCTGACCTCGGTAGGGCGTGAAGGACGAGCCTGGAACGCCCCCCTTCCCATGAGGTTTTAGTCGCCCCATCTCAACCGGCTCAGACCTGGCTTTCCATAAAGCTCCGAAGCGTAGGCCAAGACTGTCTTGCACTGACCATGGGTACTCTCGCTCCAGAGGTGCCTACCAAGAAAAGGAAGCTGGGGAAGAACCCAGATGTGGATACAAGCTTCTTGCCTGACCGAGACCGTGAGGTAAAGGGGGCTCATGTCCTGCCCCTTGCTGACCCCATCCTGCCCTACCCCAGCCCCTAAGCCCATCTCAGCAGAGGCTCTGGCTCGGAGTGGCACCCGACGTGCCCGTGACGCCGTGCTGGTCCTCCGTCTCTCAGGAGGAGGAGAACCGGCTCCGGGAAGAGCTGCGGCAGGAGTGGGAAGCCAAGCAGGAGAAGATCAAGAGTGAGTCCCCGCCGGGGGCCCCAGCAGAGGGCAGGGGCTGCGCCCAGGGCCCGCAAGCAGACGCAGTTGTGCTTTGCAGGTGAGGAGATTGAAATCACCTTCAGTTACTGGGACGGCTCCGGCCACCGGCGCACGGTTAAGGTAGGTGGGGGGACTGTGGCCTACCTTGGGGAGCCCTGCCGGGGGGCCCTTCCCCATCTCCCCTCATGCCCTGGCACAGATGAAGAAGGGGAACACGATGCAGCAGTTCCTGCAGAAAGCTCTGGAAATCCTGCGCAAGGACTTCAGTGAGCTCAGGTGGGGTCTGCGGGCCACTGACCCCAGCCCCGCTCCCAGGGCCGCACCGGCACTGACTCCCTAGGTGGATGGGCGTGGGGGTGCAGGACTCACAACCCCCCGCCTGTGTGTCTCCCAGGTCTGCGGGGGTGGAGCAGCTCATGTACATCAAGGAGGATCTCATCATCCCTCACGTGAGTTCTCCCCGCGCGGCGGCTGGGGCGTGGCGCGTGGGGGGCACGCGGCCTGTGCACGGGAAGAGCCCGGCTGGTCATCAGACCGTCGCTTTTCTGCCCTCGGCCTGTAGCACCACAGCTTCTATGACTTCATTGTCACCAAGGCGCGAGGGAAGAGCGGTGAGTGGCGGCCATTCCCTCCTCGCCCTGCGCTCCTGTCCGCGGCATCCGGGGGGCCCTGTTGGTGACCAGGGGAAGTGTGTCTGCCCGCAGGGCCGCTCTTTAATTTCGACGTTCACGACGATGTTCGGCTGCTCAGTGATGCCACCGTGGAGAAGGATGAGGTACGGGGCGGCGGTGTCGGCTTTGGGGGCCAGCGGGGTGGGGCAGGAGCCGCAGACATGCAGCCCGGGTCCCTCCGCTCCACAGTCGCACGCAGGCAAGGTGGTGCTGAGAAGCTGGTACGAGAAGAACAA